GGGTTCACTCACCCATATCTTGAGGGGAGTTTCGACATTCTGCTCCAAGACGACGCGACGTTCGACTTGGGATCCCTCGTGTGCAAAGTGGTCCATCTACCCGGTAGGCGGCGTTCTTATTCAGCAGTAGCCAAAGTCACCTGACCATGCACCCACAATCGATTTCTTAGGACACACACCTGACCACATCGGGTATGTTATCGGCGAAGCCATATTCACGGGGGATTCGATCTTCCAGCCTGACGTTGGATCCGCTCGCGTTGACTTCCCAGGTGGCGATGCGAAAGCTCTTTTTTCGGTGGGTCCCTTTCGTCATGCCCACCGCTCTGCCTGAAAGCCTCTCAGACGATCCGTCGCCTGCTGGCATTCCCACCCTCGTATCGGCTGTTTGTGGGACACGACTATCCAGCTGATCGGCCTCATCAATGCGCAAGCACAGTGGAAGAACAGCGTCGCTTGAACAAACATGCCAATGATAAAGTATCCGAGGCCCAATTCACCGAGTTCAGGACCGCGCGTGATCGAGTCCTGGGGGCCCCGACGCTGTTGCATCCCTCCTTGCAAACCAACATCAGAGCCGGGAAGCTGCCGTACTCTGACGCCAGTCCCTTGCACTTCAAAATCCCTGTCACTTCTCCCGTAGATATCTAGCATCGATATCTACACAATCTAATCTAATCCAATATGATCATGTGCTCTAATCCACATCCGCATTAGGCAGAAATCACTTCGCCGGAACGTCTAGGACGGCATTGCTCTCTTCTGCGACCGCTCTCGCTCGGCTGCGATGGGTGTCCTCGGGAAGTTCTCCAATTCGACCAAGAATCTCCTCGCTGGCCGGGATGTGACTCCCCAACAACCCGAACGGCTTCCCCTCGCCGAGGAGGAAGGGATCCAGGAATCGGGACTGGAAACGACGCCTGCTTCCACCAAGGTGGACAGCCCCGTTACGGAGAAAGCAAGCGGACCCAAGCCCCGTCGGCTCTCCTTACGTGTATTCGGCCCGGCGCACAGCAAGCAACCTAAACCTGCGCTGTCCGAAGCTCGGGAACGCGAAAAGAAGGACAAAGCTTCGAGTGCCCTGGCCAAGCGCATATCCAAACCATTGTCCTCCAATGCGGATAAACGCGCAAAAGAATCTGCGCTCATCGTGCGAACATTGATCACTGGTGCCCCTGGAGCTATGGCAAGTGGGAGCAAGAAGGCGTCCCATCTAAACCAAGTCAAGTCGGAGGTGCGTCGTCGTCACCGTGGCAACACCTGAACAACGGCGCCTCAACTTCAATGTAGCTCTCTCAGCCCACCTCTGCGAACAGAGTGATTGCACAACTTCGGACGCTCCCTTCGACGGCGCCGGGAACCGCACTTGAGGAAGAGTCGGACGCCAGCAGCCCCGCTGTTCCGATTCACGCTGTATGCCTTGCTCATCCAGACGAGAAGGAGCACGAACTGCACTTTTCCAAGCTGAGCCCCGAAGATCACGACGGGGTATCGCACTACATTCCCAGTATCGCGCTCACGTCCATCGAAACTCTGCAGAACACGTTCAGGGAGATGCATATCGTCGACTTGGTCTCTGACCCAGATCTGGGTCTTGGCCAGCCGGGGGACGGGGATGGGCTACTCGCGGGGGCTCTTCCGACTCCCGAGACGGTGATCAATGGAATCGAGGAGATCACGCCTCAGCTTATGGCGCTGGGCTATGCCACTGGCAAAGCTATGCTTCCGGACCACAAAGGTCAGTGATGAGTTCTTCCTGGTGGTCTTGTCTCGCTCATTTGTGATAGGTGTCCATCCGCCAACGGACCGCATGTCCGTTCTGACGTGTAAGACTGGCCTCTGTTGTGCACACATCCGCAGGCTGAAGATGAAACAGACTGGTGGGGCCTTGAGCTCGTGCTGCCGCCCCCTTCACTTGCGTACTTGAAGAAATCACAGTCCGTCGCAACGGCCCTGGTTAATTTCCTCACCGCTGTCTCTGTGATGAACAAGGGCGTTCGGGAGCTGCTACCGTTCGTTCGGTATATCTCCCAGTTCATTGACTTCGAGTTCTCGACAATCCGTGGCCAAGACAAAGGGATGGGTGTTGTCTGCGCCGCCACCTGGTAGGTTCTTCCCTTCGCCCTAGTCGACCTGTGTCTGAATTACTTCAGGTTGATGCCAGCGGCTCTCGTAAGCTTCCAGTTTGCGCGCATGATTTAATATCCAATTCATTTCAGGTTCCACGGCCATGGGACTTTCCTCCGCCAGAAGTCAAACAAGATGCGAAGCTCGAGATCGAGCCGGTTCCAGGGCAGCCAGAGGCTGCCCTGCCACTGCCGTTATCTTCATCTCCCCGAGCCGCTGTCTCGGAACCCGATCTGACACCTGATCCCGCTCATGCTTCCCGAATGAATCCACCGATTGCTCTCTCTCCCGGTCACAATATGATTCGGACACCGCACATGGCTATGGCCTGACCACCCGATTACTTCTATCTATACCCTTCTCTTAACGACGACCACGACTCTCATGATTTAGGATGGCATTAGATACCAGATTACATTCAGGACTACATTGGCAATAACGAGCTACATTCATGACTAGCACACTCACTCATGATGAGCCGCGTGATTACTGTATGGTGACCTCACCATCCGGCTCTGGGGACGATGAGTATGGTCATTCGGGAAGGGGGAGAGATCCACTGACCGATGAAATCAATGGGGCTGTCGGGATCGGCCTGCAAGGAGCTGAACTTGGCGAAGGTGGTTGGCGATATGGACGCAGCGAATCCCTGCGCGCCGGTGAGCCTGCGAGCCAAGATACCACAGGTATGCACACCTTCATCAGAGTATCGTAGCGGTGGGTGACTTCTCCGCCTGCAGGAGGATCAACACGATTCACCCCACGGGTAGAAGTAAGCGAGTACCATCGTCATTCACGGTCTTGATGAACTCATCGATGGACTCTTGGCTGGCCGTGGGTTTGAACATGATTATATACTCTTGCAGCGCTATCGTCAACAGCGCGCACAGGCTCCAAATGGCCACGACTTACTGCCAGACATGGTCGTAATGGGAGACGGGAGCTGAGATGGATGTATGCTGCGGTGATCTCATCCCCGGCTTTATCGGGGCCCCATTGGGACGAATTTGGAAGGCAGTGCCAAGATCGATACAAAGTCCAAGTTCTACTGCTATGTTCTTACTCTTCATCGCTGTCCTCGTCCTCTTGTTGCAGGAACTACAAGCACTGGATCAGCACGGACAATCAGATTGCCAACGAAACGTACCTGCACAAGGGTCTCGGTGCTCTTCAAAAAGTGTTGTCTACCCTGGGGCTTGGAACCCTTCTGGTGCCAGTAGATAATGGCTTGGTCAGAAATACAGTCCTTGTTATACAGAACCTGCAGTAAATGATGTTAGTTCCGCAGACACTCGGCCGTTACTAAGCTCGCGTGCCTTCAGAATCTGAGGGAAGGCTTTGATAATGCGCGTGTCCTCGTAACAATACACTTGAACGACGTTAATGAGCGCAACTTGCGTCTTGGCACTCTTGCAGAAGGGCTCCAGAATCGGACAGAATTTCTGATGACCCTGGTGAGCGTCGTGCACTGAATGACACAAGGGATGACGAACAGTGACCTCACGCAGCGCCAGCCCTTCAATCTGATCTGGACGAGTGCTCCAGTCCACCGACGACATGAGACCTTGCCACATGCACTGAACCAACTCGTTTTCAGGAAGAGGCGACTCTTCTTGGTGAGTGTTGATTGCGGCTACAATCTGGAGCAGTGGGTCAGCAGAATTTCGAGATGCAAAAGGTGCGCTCTCGCCTGTTCCGGCGAATCTTCGCGTTCCAGATGCTCCCGGAGCTCTGTGATGATACTCTCCTTGAGCACAGCGTACTGCCGTTTGGCAAACCACTCCGCCACGGCCGGAAGTCCAGCCTTCTTGAAGTGTTCCTCGAGGTCTTTTCCAGTGCGCTTGTTAGGAGGGAAGAACGCAAGGAGATCCTTGATTCCACCACGCCTGAGGGTCCCCGCAAGATGGTCCATGGACTGATCCGCCAGGTAGGCCCGGAAGATGAGCGTGATCACAGAAACGGAGACCGCTGTTCTAAAATTAATGTGAAACTACCGTGGAAAAGAACCGTAACGTACAATCTTTGATCAAGTGGTCCTTGGTAAGACTTTGCAAGCACGATGCATTGGCGAGTCCCTGAGAAATCAGAAGCCCCATGGTGAGAGCGAGCTTGTCCTTCTGGGGTACCGTCCATCGATGGATGTATTGGAGAAGAGTGGGCAATGCCGACTCCTCTAGGGGTTTCTGAAGATATTTGTATCTGGAGCATATATAAGCGCATGAGTATAACGATTCGGTTAGATCTCACTGACCTCCGAATGAGTTTGTTGAGAACGTCGACATATTTCTTCAGCTCCTCTATCTCGGCCGGCTCCTTAGCGTTGAAGACAGTGAAGGGGCACATCGGTGCGCCGTCGTCGACATAGCTACCGCCTGTCAAATGTTAGCTTGATTAAGAACAAGGAAGTTGATGATGACCTGGCTGAAGAAGGCCTCCGACCAAAAGCAACTCGAATAGAGGTTCTGCATATTTCAAAAACTCGAGGGTGGATCCAGCGGTAACGAGCTTGGCGGCAAAGGAGTCGAAATCTTCGGTTGGAACAGTTTCGAGGTGCTTAAAAAGCTGGTCTCTGAAAACTGGAAGGGTGTGAGTCTTGGATGTGTCAGGGCAAGGGGTTGGACGAACCTGTGGGCTCGTGCTTAGCTTGCGCCTTGACTGCGCCTTTTCTTGCTTTGATACGAACGCCTTGGAGCGATGGCTTGGCACTGGCCGTCTGGGACTGCATATAACAGGTAAGAAGAGTAAGAACCAGTTACTGGTCGGCCTATCGAGAGATGGAAGATGGACGATAGAGCCAAGTTGGGTGGGTGCAGATGGCACGTGCCGTCCAACCATCAGCGTATCGATTTCATGGCGTTTCATTCCTGGATTTGGTATCTCGCATCGTTGCCATCACCAGGACTGCACTTGTGGGCTCCCGCTATGAGCCTTTGAACGCGGACGAGTGTATTCTGACCCTGCGCTTTGTTCCGAATCAAGGATCACACTGCTTTGGCCCTCTTCTTTTGTTCTACCTTTCGTTTATAAGGCCCTGACTACAGCTTGAAACCACAATTTCACCTCCCATTGCATCACTTCCTTCTGCTCCAAATGTCCGCCGCCAAAGCCAGCCATACTATGGCTTTCTCTGACTCTCCCGACGCGCGCTCCAAATCTATAACAACCGCAGAAATTGACACTCATGGTGTATGTGGGATTGCAACGCGTATGCGAACCAGTGCTAACGTTGATCTCAAGGTCCTGAATCGGCACGCAGTACGCCTTTTGCTGAGCTGTTGGCCCCTTATTGACAGCGTTGTAGGAGAAGAACGCCGCATATCAGGTGGGGATCTCCGAGGACAAGGGTTCCCGCCGGACTATGGAGGATGCTCACTCGTTCATCGTCGACTTCGCCGGTGTGCGCGGCCAGGGTTTCTTCGCCGTTTTTGACGGTCACGCCGGGAAACATGCTGCGGAATGGTGTGGGACCTTCTTCCATCAGGTGCGCCACTCCGTCGGCAAGTGGTCCAGTGCGGTCTTCATGTTCACCCCAGTGTCTGTTGTCGGTTATGACGCGAATGAACGGGTTCTCCATCCCGGAGATTATGAACCAAGCTTTCCATGACGTCGACGAGTGCATCTCACGAATGTGCGAGGAGTCCCAGGGAAAGATCCACTCTGGCTGCACCGTAGTCACGGCCTTCCTTCGCATTGAGGACGAAAATGGGCAGCAGTCTTTCCTCCCAGCGTCCCGCGACTCGGATGACGTGTCGAACATGAGTAGCAGCGAGAGCGTCGGCGGTCCGTCCGGCGATGAGGCCGCCGCCAAGAAAAAGGCGCGGCATTCGCTTACTGGCAGCAAAATCCGGAAGGCGTTCAAGAGCCTGGGTGGCTCGCCCTCTCACAAAGCTAACAAATCGCCGAACGTTTCCTCCCCAAGCACACCGCGTTCACAGTCCCCAGTCCCGATGTCCGGATCTGCGGAAGGTGCCACCGTTGTCATCCCTCCATCGGCAGCACGACGTGTGCTGTATACGGCAAACGCCGGCGATGCTCGAGGTGTCCTATGCAGAGGCGGCAAAGCTATCCGGCTGACGTACGATCACAAAGGTTCGGACAAGCAGGAAGCGAAGCGTATCATGGACGCCGGTGGATTTGTCATGAGCGGCCGCGTCAACGGGGTTCTGGCCGTGACCCGAAGTCTGGGGGACTCATCCATGAAAGAGTTTGTTGTCGGAGCGCCATACACAACCGAGACAGAGCTTTGCGACGAAGACGAGTTCCTCATTCTTGCTTGCGATGGGGTGCGTCGTCTTTTCTGACGGTGTTTTCTGGATTGACAGACGCGACAGCTTTGGGATGTGACGACTGATCAAGCTGCCGTGGATCTGATTCACGGCCAAGAGGACGCCCAGGTTGCCAGTCAAATGCTGCTGAAGGACGCGTTGGACAATCACACGTCAGACAACGTCACTGTGCTTGTCGTCAAGTTCAAGCGAGGGTAGGATGTAGTGTTACCGCCACTGTAATAATGCTTGTATAGTCTGTACTGTAAACAGGAAACTCTTATTTTGGCTCTACGGTGACGTCGTCACTTCCCCGCCTCCGCCCGTCACGCTCGCGGATCAGGATCTATTCATTTATGGAAGCACTGCCCCTCAAGATCACACGGGTTCGATCAAGGTCAACACCGAGCCGTGCAATTAACGTGGACGTAGGCAAACGCACTCACTTCCTGCCATCATGTCTTACGGCGCCCCTCCAGCCCCCTACGCACCCCAGTACTTCTCTGGGCCTACTTCCGATGCCTACCCAACAGATACGAAATCCCCCTACGAAAACGACCGCTTTCGACCCAAGAAACGCATCAATGACCCCATCGTTCTGGCACTTTTTGTAGCTCAAGTGCGTACACGGGAGACTTTGGGACGCGTCGCCGCTCTCTGACCTCGCTCGCAGTTTGTGGGCTTCATCGTCGTCTCAGCGATCGTCATCCAGTCGTGGATAAAGAACAATGGTTTCGGCGGCGGGCTCGGAAAACACCCGACAGGGACCACTGTCACCCTCAACTCGAGCACGGTGTATCTGCTGCTGCTCGTCACCGCTGCGGCGCTTCTCTTGTCGTCCGTATACCTCATGCTCGTCCGCGCCTTCACCAAAGTCATCATGCACATCTCGTTGATCTTGTCAATCTTGTTGAACATGTGAGTCCCGTCCTTCACGAGGCTGTTCGCGTTTTCATCTTCGGAACAGTGGTATATGCGGTGAGATGCGCTCCTTCCCTGTAACTAATGGCAATTGAACATCGCGAAGTTTATTATTGGATCACGAAGTACTATTGTGAGCGCGTCCTGTTGACTCGCAAAACAAGTCCTGATACTTCTTCAAACCAGCTGGTGCTATTATATTCACCATCCTGGCGATTGTGTCTGTTCTATCCTACTGGGGCTTCAAATCTAGAATCCCGCTCGCATCACTGTTGCTGCAAGTCGTGATTGACGTCAGCAAGCACCATACTTCTGTGTATGTCGTCGCCTTTCTGGCACTTTTGGCACAGGCTGGTTTGGCTGTGTGAGTTTTGACTGGCTTCGACTGTCGCTACCGATTCGAATCAAAGTTACAGATGGTTTACGTTCGTCGCTGCTGCGACATATACCAAATGGACGCCCAACAACAACAATCCTTGTAACGAGTGCTCTTTATCAATATTGAGCGTCGCTGATAGCTGCTGTAGCTTGTGCAACCACATCCTGCTCCAGCGGAAAGGTGGCTGGCCTCATCTTCTTTGAAACATTTTCGTTCCTGTGGACATCACAAGTGATCGGCAACGTTGCTCTGGCCACTCTGGCTGGTGGTCCGTAGGGTTTCGTGCGAAGGGGATGTCCGATGCTGACTGCTTTTCACCAGGCCCATACGGTTGCTGGTACTACTTTGGACCTCGCGGAGAGGGCAACATGGCATGAGACATTCTGTATTGTCGATGGGGCCAGAGCTGATGCGCAAAACAGCCAAAGAACCCCACTCTTTCTGCCTTTGGTCGAGCGTCAACGTTATCATTAGGCTCCATCGCATTTGGATCATTGATCGTGACTCTGCTGGATCTGCTCAAAATGCTGCTCCGCTCGGCCCAGAACTCGGCCAATGCTGACGGACATCGTATGCCACTCTCTGAACGGACTGCGGATCGGGCTGACTATCAACGCAGCTGTGGAAGCAATTTTGGCCTGCTGTGCTTCTTGTTTCGTGGAGATCATCGAGGGCTTGGTGGAGTACTTCAACAGGTCAAAATCTGAAGCACAGCACAGTCTGCTCGGTCTGATCACGCGTCTCTAGATATGCATACATCGAGATAGCCCTGTATGGGAAGCCATATATTCCGGCTGCGAAGAGCGCCTGGCGGTCAGTCCTTCCTCTGGCGGCAATGATGGCGATGCTGACGGCTGATTCTAGGCTTCTTTCCGATCGCGGAGTGTCGGCGATCGTCAACGATTCGCTCGTTGGAATGAGTAGGCCTTTGCAAGTATCTGTTCTTTATGCCATGCTCACTTTTCCAGCGCTCACGTGGGGTGCTTATGCCGTGGGGATGCTCACGTCTTTGTTCTCATATCTTTATCTGCGAAGTAAGCGGTCTGGCGTCGTCGGAACACGCGCTGAGCGATATTTGTGTAGTCACCGCGCCTGGCTATAATGCCAACGGAAACTACACTGCCCCCGTGATCTTGTTTGCGTTTCTAATCGGCATCCAGTGCTGTACGCTTTCCCTTTCTTCTGCCATAGACCTAGTGCTTATGCTCTGCCAAGCTTTGACTGTTTCGTCCTCCATCGAAGCAGGGGTTTCGACCATGTGCGTGCAAGTTCCACCAGCTGTGTCTAGAATGTTCACATATCTGCAGATTCGTTGGCCTGGGCGAGGATCCCCAGGTTCTTGCAGTCAGGGCGCCGGCTCTCTTCGGGGTAAGCGGGCTATTCTGTCATTGAACTTGCTGAGCCAATGTCTTGCCAGATGATTGCGCAAACGTATCCCGACGTGGTCCAAGGTGTTTGAGTGTTTTCTTCATTTTATGCTACTGGTACAGACACTTCGGGTACATCGGGATATGATACATGTTCTCAGCGCCGGCCTTTCTGCTTCTTATCCGGCTTGGGTAACTCAACCGCACGTTGGCAGACAGGACAACGCCCGGAAACATCAGTCAGCCACGGGTCTAAACATGTTTTCTGGGCAAACACATCGTGGTGAGTCGAGGAACAGTGGACCAACAAGCAAACTCACATGGAACACGTGACCACATTCGAGTAATCGCAAAGGCTGAGCGCCTTCGCCTGCATCCTCCAGCCGCAGAGTGCTCCCAGATTGAGGCTGTGCAACCTCCACAACAGTTTCTGAGGATTGGGGCTGTGATGAAGCCGTGTCCGCAATTCGTTTGGGCTCCTCAAAGTCCATTAAGCAAACAGCGCACGCTGCACGATTCCCCTCGAGGATGACGAAGGGATAGGGGCCCTGCTCCCAGTTCTCCTGCCACGTCCCGGGGATCCCATCCCCAGGGCTGGCTGTTGGCCCAGCTTTGTCGGATGTTTGGTCTCGTTTCCGTCGGAGGAATCTGAAATGATGTTTCCTCGCAGGCGGCTTGGCGGAGAGCTTGGGAGGGTAGGAGTATGCGGACTGGGGGAGCGGGATGCTTCCGGGCAGAGCATCGGGCGGAGGCGGGATGTAAAGAACCAGTGGGATCCGATCAACAACCGAAGCACTGAGTTTTCCGATCTCCGGTCGGATTGGGGGGTTCTGCATCGGATGTCGTCCCAAACACATGAGGAATACATTCCAGAATAACTGCAAAAATTCGGTCAACCAGGGTTGGGCTGCTCAACAAAATACACCCACGAAAACAATTGGCGCGACCACAAAGACGATGAAGCCGAGCAGGATCACCTCCAGCACAACCAGGTACATGATGCAGAGCAGCCCAAACGTCAACCACCAGATGTGGGGCGAAGAATACCGACACGTGTGTACACTGGAATATTCCAGAATGTGGGCTAGAAGGACAGGTCAGATGAGATCAGCGAATACGACAACCGCACCAGTCAGAAACCAGCTCAATGTTATCAGGGACGACAGGATAGAAAGGCTGTCACGTCTGTCAGTAAGACGATGGCACATAGACATGGACATACCGCGAGTAGAGAGCGACGTGCGGCAACGTTACGCCCGTTGCTGCAGGTGTAGTGGACCCGTTGCCAGAGTCCGCTGACGTAACAGCAGTGACAGAGGTGGCTATATTCCCAGCCCCAACGTGTTCAGGATCGCTGGTCTGAACGTGCCTGGAAAAGATGAGGGTGACACCAGAGCACTCCAGGCGGGACTGACGCTTTTACATCTCGTCTCCATCCCCAATACGTTAGACACGACGAGTACACCACTCGCACGATATACAGACAAGCCCAAACACCCAGGGACGATCGCATGCCTTCCACTCATTCAATCCAGGCACTGGAAGATGTCAGAAACTGCAGTCACATCTTGAGAGTACGTACTGGTTTTGCTCTCAGTATGAGCTGCAACCGAAATAACCGAAATGATGACCACGACCTGAGTTCGTTGGATCATCTCGCTCGGCTAAGAAGGAACACCAACGCACTTGAACGAAACCCCAAACCAAATTGTAGCACATAGATACCAGCTGTTTTCGCGTTCGAGATGCCCCGCGCCCGTAGCCAAAAAACGTCATGATCCGCGTGTAGAGAGGTAGATTGTGAGCCGCCCGCAATGCTGGGAGAACAGGGATTGCAGGCGGCATGGACTCGTGAGATGGTCTGGGATTAGGTTCTAGGAAGACATCATCCAAGGGGTATGGTGTATGTGCCATCGTTGCCGCCGCAGGCGCGGGGCCTTGGGCGCCTACGGGAGATGCTGGAACAGAGTCTTCTTGGGATCCACTGCGCACGACGTCTCGTGCAGTAGACTCAGAAGCTGGGGATGCGTGGAGAACAGCCGGTTCGGGAGTCCTAGGCAAGTCTCCGACTGAACGAGTCCTTCGTAATGCTTCCGCCATCGTGGGATCGAGCGCGTTCTGGGTAGCGCCAATCGATTGCTCAGTGAGCAGTCCTGGATGAGGCTGTAACTGGGAGTAATCCGGTGGGAGCTCACGGCTTCCGATGTAGATGAGCTGAAGGCGGGCACGATGGCCGAAGCGAGGGAGCGAGAACGAGTGGTGATGGGCTGGGACTTGCGTCACAGCAGTTCAAGCATCCGAGCACTGCCACTAGATCTCCTTCTGTTCTCGACCGTTATGGCAGCCTCTTCAGCTGATGTGCGCTCGGCCTTGGAACTGCCCTCCGCCTCCTCTTCACACCTGCAAGCTCCGTCAAAGAAGATTGCAGCACAAACGACGCGCAAACCCGAGGGAATATCTCGGGAATTGTTCTCTCTAATTGGACCCTCAGCGACCACATTAGTCGCACAGCTCGCACAACCGCGTCTCAAGCAGAAACCGAATCTCGGAGGGAACAACAATTCCAAATGGTGCGCCTCCAAAGTCTCCTCTCTCAGTCGTAGACAATTTGAGTACCAGGGAACTGCGTTCATTCAAAAACGGTGCACGCTCCGACTCTCTTGAGCTTCAGCACTGGGTCAAAGCATCCGATGCGTCCACAGAAGATGGTTCGTCTCGCCGCTCTCAACCATTCCTACGTATTAATGAATGCAGCGTATCAGTTCGTCAAATACAACGTTCAACGCCCGACTTTCGCGTACTCTCTCGATGAATACACACAGCTGTTAGAAGGTAGCTCAATCACGTCTGTGGACACCCGGCCAGCCTATTCATCTCCAACAGATAAAGACTGGACCAAAGAAGAAACAGACTACCTAATGAACATCGTACACGAATACGAAACACGGTGGTATGTCATCCATGACCGGTATGACTATCCGGCAGGCAGCGCACGGTCCATGGAGGTTCGTTGAAATAGCGCATCTTCTGCCGAGCACCACCAACGAATCTCCAGGACCTCAAAGATCGCTACTGTAGCGTCTGTCGAAAACTCATCCGGAATCAACCCTGGGCATCCGACGACGCTAGTAAAAATACGCTCCTAGCTAGCTTCTCATTTGAAAAAGGTGAATTCCATGTCGAGTGTTTTCTTCGCCGTCCATATCAAATGGAACAGATCGCGAAGTACTGCGTAAGAAGTACATCGCCAGCTTGGAAGATCGGACGAAGGAGCAGATTGCCGAAGAAGAAGCCCTGTACATCGAGGTCAAGCGTCTGGAACAAAACGAACGGCGTTTCAAACGCGACCGAGACAATCTTCTCCGTACCCTGGCGGGCATCGAGTCGGGTTTGCCTGACATCGTTGAGGATGAGGTACAACTTGCGCAGCTTCATGCGGACATGAAGTTCAGCAGCCACAACAAGCGGAAAGGTGGGATGAACCTGGACATTGATATCCCCTCGACGCCACTTGCGTCTAGCTCGCGAAGGCCGACGATTCCCAAGAACAGCGCCTATGATGCCCAGCATTGCATCACGCGCCAGGACCTGTCCTCATCGTCTGCCAATGTGACAAAAGCTGCACACCAGCCAGCATTCTTGCGCTCTTTCAGAATGCCTTATCCAAAGTCCAACATTGCCCCCAAAGTCACACAGATCCTCACGGAATTGGGCGTCTCTCACACTCGACTGGTTATGCCAACCCTAGCCAACATAACCGCCCTCGAAAATCTGATGGACGCTGCGAGTACCCTAGTGGAAACCAAGAAAGTCGTCGACAAAGTCGACTATGACATCCAAGTGATGAAGAGCCGTCTCGGCATGCAAGAAAGTGCGCCTACGAAAACGGAGGATATGGATGATGCGACGATGGATGTTGACGATGCGGACGGAGAGATTGATGCCGAGGGTGAAGATGGTCGCGCGCAGAGTGTGGTCAGTACAAGGAGTGCTCGCAGTCGAAAGCAGGTGCGTTCTGGGGTTAGCATGCTTTCGTGGTCTGACAGTATTTCAGAGGAGGTCCATGTCCGTCTCGTCGGTCGATACAGTGTCCACTCGTGCTGGTACAAAACGTCAAAGAAGATGAAGACGCTTTTTCATTTTAAATTTGGCTAGATGTGTATTGTACGATAATCCGTGTTAGTGTTGTGCAACGGACGGACGATCCAAGAGGACTGGCTCGCTCAAGGTTGTGTGAAACGCAGGACAAAGTTAACCAGGATGGCGACCAGCAATGCCACGCATAGCACGGTCTAGCAGATCATGAGACTTGAACCCGAATCCCATGGAATGTGTAATCGCACCGGTCCCATTCTGTCGTCATACGGTCCCCGTCCTCCGCGTCTGATTGAAGCTGCGCGCCAGTGATAGACGTACAGTGCGTAAACCATAATCCCCATGGCTAGAAGGTTTCGTTTGAGCTTCCAGTTGAAATGCGAGGAGACGGGCTCACCAATGACGGAAAACATGGCAGCACTAATCTTTCCTACTTTATCCCCAAAGTTGAGGAGTCCTACAGCCAGACCGCCTAGCACAACGGTAAAGTGTAGCCATGATAGAAAAGTACGCTCATTTGCGAAGGAGACCTTGGGTTCCACGCGGACGGGAAGCGCGATCCTCTTGGCCGCTGTTCTTTGCAAGAGCGGTTGAGTCGACATCGTCGTTCCAATCAGATGGGCGTGACAGTATGTGACTATACAATCTTATCTTATCAGTAGGTAATTAGTGATGCATGGGATGACCTAATACAAGGATGGTGCCTAAAAATACAGCAGTAACATATCCATAAATGCTCATAAGATTAACGGTCGGTGATATCTTGCCAGAGTGGGGTCAGAGCCTGCGCGACAGTGTTCGCGGCTGAGAAGAGGTCAGTTCTACGTGTCAAGAGACTCATCAGAAGCTCCCTCACCAATCTCAAGACATTGTCGTTCCGCCTCATCTTGGACCGTTTTGAGGAGGCCACGGGAGCTCCTGATATGGCTTAGAACCAATATCGCTCAGAAGGTAACGCACACGCACCATCGATCTGGATGAAACCGTTTCCGGCTCTTATCGACAAGAGTGATATAGTCTATTCGAGAGCATTTAGCTAAACCCTTGCATGAAGCGATGAGTCAGACAAACCTTTCATTGGTATGAAGCACTTGATGGTGTTGAAAAATGTTTCCACTGTTCGCCAGGAGACGTTTCCGAAAGAGTTGTCTCCTGGGGGATCGATATCCGGCCAGGGAACAACATCGAAAGTCAGCGGCTCGTCAGAAGAGAATCTCGTGCTATCGAAGACTTTGCTGTATGCCTGGTATCGGTCCAGCGCCCGCAGAGGTGACCAAGAGCCATAGGCCCAGCGCTCGTCGCGCTTTCGTCGTTCTCTCTCTCTCTTCGCCCGTTCTTCACGCACCCGAGCCTCTTCCCTCGCTCGAGCTCGCTCTTCCTCCATTCTGGCTTGTCGCTCCTGTTCTGCCTTCCGCGCTTCCGCCGCCTGTCGCTCTCGTTCCCGAGCGTTCCTCTTCTCGATCTCATCTTCTCGTTGCCGGTGCTCGCGCAACTTTGCGGCGGCTTGCCACAGTGGTCGGTCAGCCTCGAGTTCAGCCATTTTCCGCCGGGATTCCGCGATCGCAGCAGCTCTTATGCACTCCTCATCTTGCTCGTCCTCGCTATCCTCTTCGTCTGACTCTGAGACGGGGTTCGACATCGCTGAGGGAAACTGAGCTCGAGATAACGATGATCAGAACCAACATACGGTTTGCGTTTGGGACTTCTGCGTATACTCCGTGCATGAAGTTCTGGAATGCTTTCTCAGTTCTGTGCCTCAATTCTTTCGCCCTCCGTTGCCGCTTGTGTTTTTCGCGTTCCAGTCGACGTGTTTCCAGGTCTCGTTTTGTGGCGTTAGGAGAGAACGTTCGAGTGCGTTTGGAGGCTTTCGCCGGGGAATAGTTGGGGGCTTTCCGCGTTTCCACTTCTTCGGGTAGTGTCCAGTAGTCAGGATCCTCTTGAGTCTTGAATGAATCAAATAATGTAGCAGCTGCACCAGATCGAGTAAGTAACTGACGGCAGAATGAGACAGGGGACCAAACCTTTGCGCTTTCCTGTGGCATCTATAGCTGTGCTTTGGGCTTCGGAGTCTATCGGGCCAAAGAAGAACCCAGCTCCTAATTCAGCAGAAAGTTTTTCAACGCGACGGGCACCCTTCTCCCGTCGCTCTTTCCGGCTCTTCTCCAAATCCTCTCGGTATCTTTTGCCCAGACGCCCAGGATCCACAGAGCGCCAAGGCACATCCAAGCTACCATCGTCGTCAACAATCATCTCCACTTCTGCTTCTTCATCGCTTTCGTCAGCGATGTGGGGCGCTTTGGCAGGTGGCATGTCTGGGTGAGGCTCTGGTGACGACAGGCGGTGTTTGACGCCCGAAGGACGCAGCGGCGGGGCATATTCTGACGGAGGAGGAGCAAGGGTAATCGTCGTCAAAGCGGGAAGGGCTCGGACCAGACAATGGTACGCCGGATCGAGCTTGTAGATGTCCCACTGGTCTTGGGTACATTCCACGACGTCCCTGTGAAGCGTTGGACGCGCTTTACAATATGCTTTATAGATTACTCACCCGCAAATATCGACGACTCTCGGCCACTGACCCTCATCTGGAACTCCTGGATCGCGTCGCGCGTTGGGGACAAATCGCCAGCATGACTCTCCGGAGGATGTCGTCTCTGCACACAGTGAGTCGTAATACGCGTCTTTCGGATAGTTCTCACCGATGACGATTCGTTTGGGCCTATAGAGTTGTTCGTTTAGCGACAGGGTACGCAGATCCAACGCATGATGGGAAGAAGCGACGCGAGGATCGAAACTGGCAAACGACAGGCTAGAGGAGAGACGACGGAGAAGACGACCGGGTTGTTGTGGGTCTAGGATGCCGGGAACACATCCAGAGATGCGTCTGCCAACCATGTGCTGCAATTGTTGAAGTGAGAATTAGAGTGCTATTTCAACAACCTATGTTTGGGCCCATCATTGCAACAGCTGCCAATCAATTGTGTGCGCTTGTGAGGGTCATTACAGTCACGTAAGCCACAAATGATACGCAAGATGACATCGATCCAATTCAATGTGACTAGTCGTGACTCTGACTCTTGAGCTACACTATAAAGCATTGCCAGAGGTACTTTAGTGAAGATGACAAGCCTTCTCAAATTCCAGGTCGATCACTGCACTAAATCGCTAGTTCCCCGATCTCATTCGTCGTCAGAGCGAAATTGACGAACAGAGTCGCGAAGCCATCAAACAACACCGCGCCGCAAATCAGGGTCTGACACTGGACAAGGAGAACCATAAACCTGCGTTGATGAAGGGAAAGGGTAAAGACGATGAAGTGGAGGCAGCAATACCAGATGTGGAAGTGAACGCGACAGATTTGGCTGAAATGGAGGAGAAATTCATCGTACTTGGCTCTGGTACATCTCTTTCGTTCGCTGACCGGGTTGAACATAGTCACTTTTGATATCCGATGCTCTTGCGGATCGTGAACGTGCCCGGGACCTGGTTGCATCTCTGATAACATCCCGTTCGGGCGAATACGTGTTACGGATTGGATTGCATCCACCCAGATCTCAGTTATTATCAGACGAACTCGATGACAACCACAATGAATGGACAGGCATCTCCCGCACGGAAGAAGAACTGAAGAACATCAAGAGCAAGTTAAAAGGTGTGGTGGAAGAGATTGGAGGCAAGGTCCATCACTGGTCGATATGTTGCTCATATCCGCCCTCTCACAAATTCTTTTCAGACTTGTGTCTTGTATGAACTGAAGGGTCGCGCCTGCCTGTTGCTGCGGCTTCCTCCGCCCAATGTCACTCTGACTCCGGAGGTTCGATGTGCGGTGGTTGGCAATGTCGACAGCGGGAAATCGACTACTCTCGGGGTCTTGACTCGAGGTACGACACCGTTTCTAGGTTTTCAATTCAGCTCAATAGGTCAATTCAGGTGCACTCGATGATGGCCGGGGCAGCGCACGTGTGGGTCTGTTTCGGCATAAACACGAAATCACCACAGGGCGGACATCGAGTGTTGGTTTCGAGGTGTGTATTCGTGAATTCAATCGAACGAAGTTTTCATGACGAACATCGAGATACTTGGCTTCAATCCTGCTGGCGAGGCCATTCTGCCTAAGACCGCTGGTTCCAACGATCCAGACGTCATACGGCGCGAGAAACTTGGCTGGGAAGAGATTTCCGTCCAAGCCGCCAAGATCGTCTCGTTTATCGGTGAGTTTTTTGAGACACGACATTATAGTAACTGAATCCATCGCCAGATCTCGCTGGTCACGAACGATACCTCAAGACGACTCTGTATGGTCTGACATCTGGAGCTCCGAGCTGTGTGATCCTGATGGTCGGGGCCAATGCTGGTCTGATCGGAATGTCCAAAGAACACCTGGCCATTGCACTGGCTTTGAGCGTGCCTATCGTTGTCTGCATCACCAAGGTAGTAGCTTTTTTCCCTCTCAGTCGACCCTTGCCACTCGGCTGAACTTACTCAGATCGATATGACTCCTCCTAATGTGCTTGCGGAGACCGTCAAACAGGTGGTCAAGATTCTTAAGAGTCCTGGATGCAGGTGTGTATCAGTTGGTGGCACTCAAACCCGAAGCGAACCCGTCTCAGAAAAACCCCTGTGTTCGTCAAGACAGCAGAGGTTGCCGTTGAAGTTTCGACTGGCTTTGGGAAGGACCGGTCAGTCACGTCTGGACCCTTTGTTCCACTTTTGAGCTCATTTCGGATCACGAAGTGTATGCCCCATCTTCATGGTCTCAAACGTTACTGGAGAAGGCTTAGAAAATGTATGTGGCACCTTCCATCAAGGTTCTGGACTTATGTATCCGGTTAGGTCCGAATGTTCCTCAATCTATTACCTTCCAGCGAGGCCGATAGCGATAAGTTTACTTCGCATCAGCCCTTGGAGGTAAGTCATTTGATTTATCCTCCGGGCAGCTATTGACCTCGACCAGTTCTCGGTTACAGAGATCTGGTCTGTCCCATACACTGGGACGGTTGTCAACGGTAGGTAGCCATACCCTCGGAATAGGCTAAGCTGAAAGAGGCAGGCATCGTCAATAGCGGAAGCGTCAGGGCTGGGGACGCTATCGTGTTTGGTCCAGACTCCAACGGCAACTTTCAGAACTCGATTGTCCGGAGCATTCAGCGGAAGCGGTACGAGCAGATCGACATGGGTATGTATTCTACCTAATCCGGTCGTTAGCGCGAACGTTCCATCTGGAGAGGCCGGCCAATGTGTCTCACTGGCTCTAAAACGAGTCAAGCGATCCGACGTTCGCAAGGGCATGGTGATCGTGCACAAGACAGACGTACCGCCACGAGGTGAATCAACAAGGAACTGGGTCTTCCGTTCGAGCTCACGATGTCACAGCCGTACGCCAGTTCGAAGGCCAAGTTTTGATTCTATAGTAAGATGTGTTTTCTGCGAGGCATCGATCGTCTTACTCATCATGCCAGTCACAACACCACTCTCCAGAAGAATTATCAGGCCATGTTGCATTGTGAGGTGTGTTGGACTGGATTGTATTCGGCATCACCAGGGAATTGATTGACGATTGCCTCCAGGCCGTCCGACAGACCGTCAGAATCATCAGCATGGGTGATGCCCAATGTTTACGGACGGGAGACCGTGCGACTGTGCAGTTCGAATTCATCTCGCATCCGGAATACATCAAAGAGGGGATGAAACTTCTCTTTCGGGAGGGCAAGACAAAAGGGCTCGGTGTTATCACCCGCTTGTTATGACACAGGAGCCGATGGGCGTGGCTCTGTTTCCACGAGGCCGTCACGGCACCTGCGCGGCTTCATGTCTGCTTCTGCCGCGCTTCTGACAGATGCTGAAGGACGCAAACCAGTGGAGGACCCGGAGAGGGGCGTACTAGGTGCAGACCCTTAGCACAGGAGTCAGAAGCTGTCACGGCTCTGTAACAACAAAACCAAGATGCTTGCACCCTGTGTGAGGCGACACGGTCGATCGTAAACTGTACAATCTATCTTATCTCTTATCTCGCCTGTTGTATCACGTTTGTACTCTACGTTTGTTTTGGAAATCATATTTCCGCATTTAGTCTCTTGTCTTCAGCATGGATCTCCGACAGTCCTACTCTGTGCTCTTCGATCGAGTAGCTTCAAATATCTTGCAGACGAATAAATCGGTTCTACCCTCTTGCTCTCTAGTGCTGCTGTCATCGCACAGCCTGCGCAATGCGCGCTGAGAAGGCGCCCCGCGAGCAGACTGACTGGATTCGGATTCGCACGGCATATGAACGGCTCGTATGTAGAGGGACGCCGCGCCTTGAACGCGCGTGCGTTCGTTTCGCTTTCATCCGCCCCATACCCAATGGCGACCGAAAGTTTAATTGAGGAAGTACGTACTGTGTTCCACCTCGATGGCTTCTGCTGCTTCTGAAACCGAGGCTCTGATGCCACTTAGTAGTGAGCACCACACCATGCGTCGACCCTCTTTCTCTCTGAACCTCATCCTCCTGCCCAGCCGCTAGGATAATGTATCGCCGCCAGGCGAGTTGGGTGGGATCGGTCCACTCTGACTCTCCGTACCCCGGGACACCGTCGTCCCCCCCTTCGCTCCAGGCTCGAGTCCGTGATCTCCTCGCGCGACGTGACTTCTCTGCTCAACCCGCACCACACACAGTACTCTTTGGGACCCGACCCCAATCAGTGGGGCTGCTCTCTGGACGAGGAAGACCCTGACGATGACATCCACGGGACTGGCGCAGCTAGCACGAGGGGCATTGAACGGGATGGCAATGCGATGTCTCTCAGGGGCATGATCAATATCGGGTGTCTGCTGGTGCTCATCGTTGGTCTGCTGGTGCTGTTGTGCGTGTTCTTCGCCCGGCCGTTGCCTAACGCCGTGTGACGTCCGTCAGTATTGGCTATCCCGTGATGTCGTATGCGAGAGACGGCAACGAGCGAGAGGGTTTCAATCTGGCTGGGAGGAACGGTGAGCTCTGGATTCTCTCTCCGCTTCCTGATCGTTGAGGAGAGGACGAGCCACGGGCCAGGTTCGTGCACGAGGATGCAGACTAGTTCCGGGCTCAAATTTGATTGGAGGTGCCGGGTATCCCAGGAAATTGGGCACTCGTTGACGCCGATACGCCGGTCGAAGCCTATACGAAAGCTTCGTGGACAGGCCAGGAACATTTGCAATTGGTGATTGGACCGCTTTGCGCCATGGAGAGGAATTAAAAACTCGACAGGTCTTCTCCGACGAATTCAATGTTGATGGGCGCACTTTTTACCCGGGAGATGACCCTTGGTATTTGAGACAGCTTGGAGCGTTGTGCATCATTAAACGCCGTGTTCAGGTGGGAAGCTGTCGATCTGCATTATTGGGTGATGACTCTGTTCGTACGCAATGTGATCTTGTGCTGACTGCCTACAGGCCACCAACAATCTGGAGGTTCGTGCGTAGTCTGGGCCCCAGCACGCTGTTGACTCGTCCCAAGTGGTACGACCCCGAGGCGATTATAACATCCAACGGGTCTCTTGTAATCACACTCTCCCAAAAGGACACACACAACTTGAATTATCAAGGAGGCATGTAGCAGATTGCTTGAGCGATGTCTCTCCATGACTGATACCCTCGCCAGGGCTTCTTTCGACATGGTAAGAGCTCAGCCATCTTGACAGCTCTCTTGACGACTGCAGGAACAAGTGCGTCTTTCTTCTTGACTCAACGGCTTCGCTAACCCATCGCCAGATTTTGCTTCACTGGAGGTTACGTGGAGGTGAGCGAGAGCCTGTATGCCGTTGTCAGCACTGGAGCTCAAACGATTAAGACCAGTGTCAAGTTACCTGGAGCAAATAATATTGTAGGATTATGGCCTGCGGTGCGTGATGACCCACCCGGTGTTTTCACTTGCATCTCAGTACCTAGGTCTGGACAATGGGCAACCTCGGTCGTGCTGGTTATGGAGCATCACTAGAGGGAATGTGGCCATATACTTATGGTTCGTGACTGCTTCACTCTGCCCGAATCTCATTTGACTAGTCAGACGCATGTGACGTCGGCACCGCTCCAAATCAAACATTAAATCGACAGCCATACGCTGCTACTATCAACGGAGACCACGGAAAAGGCGGGGCCTTGTCCTGGCTTCCTGGACAAAGGCTCAGTCGATGCACGTGCAGCGGCGAGAGCCATCCAGGTCCAGTTCATACCGACGGGACTTTTGTGGGTCAGTGATATCTTCTCAAGTGCAGTCTTCTGCGCTGATCCCGCAGTCTAGGCCGCTCCGCACCTGAAATAGACATCTTTGAGGCCCAAATCACCGGAAAGAAACTAATCGCTCAGGTGTCTCAAAGCGCTCAGTGGGCTCCTTTTGATGCAGTATGTCCATTGTCCAAGCTGTCGGCGCTGTCTAACGGGGATCAGGGCTATCATTGGCAGAACACTTCAGAGAACTTTATCTTGGGGGACCCCTCCATCTCGGGACTGAATAACTTCGTAGGTAGTGCAACTCAGCAGGTCTGTCGTCATCGCCTTTCGGAAGTTTGTGAACTGAGATCTTCCAGGCGACTTCTGTCTTGACAAACACAAACTTGTCGTGTTACGAACAATCACCCGACAGCTGCTTTGCGATCTATGGCTTTGAGGCATGCAATTTCCCGTTGATTGGTGCAGTGCGTTCGGCTCACAACGCGAACAGTATAAGCCGGGGTTCGATGACGGATACATCACCTGGATCGCAAACAACCAGATCTCATGGACAATCAGGTCGGGCGGAGTGGGTCAAGATGATACTGTGCTTATTTCTGCACGGCCAATTCCGTAAGGACTTTCCTACTGCGTGATAGCGCTGACTATGCTCCCAGAATGGAACCGCTCTACCTGCTTGCTAACCTGGGCATGTCTTACAACTTTGGTACTCTTCTGCTACAAATGACGACCCGAATCTCACTCTTCGAAGGGTCTGTTGATTTGGCACACCTCCCCTTCCCGTGCCATCTCCAAATGTATGCTTTTGCGGTCGTCCGACCTTGCTGCGCATCATCTGATCCTTCCACAGCGACTATGTCCGCGTTTATCAGCCCAAGAACGCCATAAATTATGGTTGCAATCCTCACGATTTCCCGACGTCCGACTACATAAACACGTGCGGCTCGGTCTATTCCTCCGCTGGCTCATCCATGCTTACTGGCGTTATCAGATATATTGAAGCGTACACAAACCCAAATCTAACCACGTGGCGAGGAGACTACGGTCAACCTTTCCCCAAATCTAGTTTCCTTGGAGAGTGCTGAGGGGATCATAAGTCACATACACTATAGGACTTGTATATCTTATGGACACTGGAAATGCATAGTCCGGACAGCACGACGACGATGACGTCACCTACTTTATGCCTACCTCCAATCCCCCACCACCATCAACCACGCGCCGAAGCATTGTGCTCACCACCGCTTTTCTCCTCCTTTCTCTCATCTGCGCACTTGGGATCAATCGATTCCCGCGCATATCACTCACCGATCTCATCCGACTCGACTCGAGCCTCTACAGCAGCGAAATGTCGCACCAAGGAAAACACACTGTCGGCTAGTACGTCTTGCTCTTCATCCGCAGCTTGCAAGCCATAATTCGTAGTATTCATCAGTTTCGTGAACTGGTACTTCCTTTCCAGCCATCTCTGCGCGTGTATCGACCTCAGTATCTTTGAAGGGGTATCTACGGGAGAAAGTACCCGCCTTCGCTAATCCCGACGGATCTCACGTACGACTCAATACTATCTGCGCAATACGTCTGCAGCATGCTTATTACCGCAAAGCCACGTCTTATATGCGTTTGCCAACATCAAAGCTGACACGGGCGAGGTCTTCCTGTCCGACGACTGGGCGGACAAGGATATTCACTACCCCGGAGATTCTTGGGAGGACAGTGGTGACAACCTGTACGGTGCGCGCTCATAATTTTGTTCCCTGCTTAATGTTTCTGAATCTGCCGGCCTCTAGGGAACTTCAAAGCGCTGTACAATCTCAAGAAACAACACCGACACATGAAAATACTGCTTTCGATCGGTGGGTGGACATACAGCCCGCAGTTCCATCCGGTGGTCGTTTCGCCTGCGCTGCGAGCCCGATTCGTCCAATCCTCGATCAAGTTGCTCGAAGATTTCGGGCTGGATGGGCTAGACGTAGACTATGAATATCCATCCAACCACGAACAAGCCGAGGGCTACACTGCACTACTGCGCGAGCTCAGACACGGGCTGGATCACCATGCGCGTAGCAAGGGCGCAGACTACAAGTTCCTTTTGACGGTGCGTGGACCATGACCATGTGGTAAACAATACACGCTGAATGGGAGGCAGTAGATCGCCGCTCCGTGCGGGCCAGACCAGTACCAGAAGCTGCACATTCACGAGATGAACAAGTATCTCGATTTCTGGAATCTGATGGCGTACGATTTCTGTGAGAGCGCCCAAACATGCCTGCGGTGGATGGACTGGTCTGAAATCGTGTTGTAGCTGGGTCGTGGGACAGCGTCGCAAACCATCAAGCTAACGTGTTTGGCGGAAAGACAAGTGTGTCCACTGCGGTGAACTGGTACATCTCCCAGGGTGAGCGAGGGTTGATTCGGTCACTCTCCGACTGACTGGGGCCGAGGCGTTCAACGACCGAAGATCATTGTCGGCATCCCGCTGTACGGTCGATCGTTTATGAACACTGAGGGGCCCGGCCAGCCATATTCGGGGTCAGTCGGCAACCCGTCCAAACGCAGTTGACTTGGTTGACATCGCTGCAGCGTTGGACCCGGAAGCTGGGAACAAGGCGTCTACGACTACCGAGCACTGCCCCTACCCGGGACCCACGTGTTCCGGGACCAGAACCTCCTCGCTAGCTGGACGTATAACTACCAAACCAAGGAGCTCATCTCCTACGATAGCGACGAGGTGGGCCACTGGAAGGGCGAGTGGATCAAGCACGAGGGTCTCGGCGGAGCCATGTTCTGGGAGCTTTCCAGTGACAAAGGCAGCGCCAGAGACGGGATGGAAGGAGGACCCGGCAAAGATGCTCAGCCGGGGCCTAGTCTCGTCCGCGTGGTCCAAAATGCCATGGGCCCGGGCGATCGCGGGCACAATTGGCTCAGATACGAAGGCAGCCGATTCCAAAATATGAGGAACGGGATGCAGTAGACGGACTATCGAGCGTGTATACAAGTAATTTACAATGTTGGTAAGTATGGAAAACAGGCTTCGCCGTTATCAACCTGAAATGGGCTGATAGGCCCTGTTGCCAGCAGCCCATCGCTTGCCTCTGTCGGCCGCAAGTCCAGTGGTGATGGTCGAGATGGTGGCTGGCCATCGGGTTAGATTTCGAAGAGATTCGGAAGGCGAATTACGAACCGAGGACACTCAACACCCACGACACTCCGATGAGAGCAAGGCCTGGACCTGAAGTCCAGGTCAGATTGCGACCCAGCCTCGAGGGAGAGCACTCACCGAATTTGCTATGATCAAATGTTGGGTACTCCTTGGTCCGAACCAGATCAATAATAAGCCCAAAGGCCACCAGTTGGAATGCAGCATGAAAGGCCGAGACTCCGGCAACGACGCGCCAGATGCGGCGTCTGCGAGAGTGCGTCGAGACGCCGATAAGGATGGCCACCAAGGCCAGCGCTCCGAAACCAATAGCTAGTTCAACCGCGTAACCCGCGCTGGTAGCAAGATCGGTTTGTGTGTGTCAAGACGGCCTGAACATCGGGTGTGCCTACCTTGTCCATGCCGCACAGAAATACTGATTCTCCTTGCAGTTGTCCTCCTGTTTCAAGGGGAACTTGCGGCACTCGAATTCAGCGGGTTTGCCGACTGGGACCTGCAAGCGGGAGCACGTCTTAGTCAGTCCGTATTTGGCGTCGTAAGTGGTGTCGAGAGGGTCGATAGTGTATCGCGCGGTCACCCTGGCCGACGAGATAAACGCGGGAGCACGACCGTCAGGGAAGAGTAGTGACTTGCCAGTCGACCCGCGTTAGAGCAATGCTTGCGAGGATAATGGTCGTGACGATAGTCAGTCCATTCAGGAAGTACGAGGTCTTGCGCATGATGGAACTTGTAGTGGTAGCAGGCAAGAGCGGCCGCGCAGCACAACAATGCGTCTGAGAAATGAGCACTGATGTGACGTCATGAAATTGTTCTAGGGCTGATTCAGAGTGAGCTAGTTTGGCCGTAGGTCAGAATTGCAGGGTTCTCGCTGCTTCACTTGCACAGGGGATGAACGGAGATGTCCGGTCCCCATGGTACGGGTCAAACTTTGACAGTCGCGTGTTCGATGCGCGCTGCAGCCACTTTTTATGATTTAAAAATTCTTCCAGCGTCCTCTAGGTTCTTCCCTCCTGGCTCTCCCTAGTTAGAGCCGTAAGACTCCAAGCGACAAGTATTATACAAGAATATTTACGATCGGGCTTGCTTTCCCACGATTGCCCAAGCGCGAATCAAATCACTCCACCTGCTCGGCTGGCACTTCCAAAATTAGATCCTGTCACCTCACTCTCGCCTCTTCTCTTCACTTTTCTCTTTCCAAACCACCCACCCACCCGTCATGCGCAGTCTATCCACCACAGTCACTCTTTTGTCCCTCTCCGCCACTGCCCTTGCTGGCAGCTCATGCATAGCATTCGACACTACATGGAACTTGCTTGCCTTTGGTTTCAATGGCAAAGACTTTAATGCTGGAACATCCACGTCTTGGTCGTCTGGTAGGACTCCCTTTCCCTCTCGCAGCGAAGCGCTCAAACGCCCTCTCTCTCCAGGGTCTGCCACTGACATCACCGCCACGGGTCGTCCGTATGTCATCAGTTCTCACTCACCTCACGTCCCTATTGACAACCCTGCAGACCATTCAATGGCAATAACACCAAATGTTACTTGGCAGAGGTAACTACCGCTTGGATCTCCTGCGTTCAGCTGCTCATCAAGCTACAGTTCTTCAACGCTATCTACGTCCTTGGCGCCGACACATCGAAGCCGTCTGACATCTACATCTACGACGCTTCAGCCAAAAGCTGGTCAACGCAAGCTATCACTGGTGGCCCCGACATGACCAACTATGAGGCCATTCTGGATCACGATACCAACGTCTTCTGTGTGTCACACATACTTTCAGCCTTGAGGCTGTACTAGTAACTCACTCACCGCCCAGATGCGTTGTCAAAGGGTGAAACGTTTTCGCTTGACATGGCGTCTCTCAAGGCCGCGCAATCGTCGTCGATCGCATGGATAGACCAAGGACCCGCCGGAATCACGACGACGAATTACGATCCGGTCATGGCCATCGCTCAAAACCACATCTACCTGTTCGGTGTTCCGAATGTGCCTGCTGGCAACGCGGCTATTTTCGTCATCCACTGCAAGTCATGCCTGATTTGGTTGGGCCACTCACTCATCTCATCTTATGAACAGTTGCATTCTGGCAGCCAGGCTCGCAATCGTACAACGGGAACTTCCCAGACACGCATGGACAGGCGACCAGCTTCTTCTTGGATTCGGTTGTATGTGACAGCGCCCGTCCCATGGATCTGTATGCTCAATGGGATCTGTATCTAGGTCCAAGAGAACATCGCTTTCATTCCGGATGACGGATCCGCGACGTACATCGTCAATGTGCAGGTAAGAAATTCGACTCCCTTTCTTTGTTTTGCTGAACCATTATGTTTTGCCAGTTCAACACAACCAACACCATGGCCGGTCCTTCTACTGTCGACTCGAAGGCAGTGTACTTCGCCTCGGAGACCGCCCTGGTTCAGCTCGCTTCCTCGGGGGCCGTTTCCTGGATTCCTTACAACCCGACGGATGCCTCGGCCAACTCGGCCGCCAAATGGAGCACCGTTCAGAACCTGGCAGCTGTTGCTCCCGCCGGCAGCGGCTCGTCTGCTAGTTCGTCGGCGTCGGGCGGCAGTGCGTCGACGCCTGCCGCTGGTTCGCCGGCATCTCAGACTGCCGGCGCTGCGTCGAAGGGTGCCAGCGCCTCTGCCACCGGATCAGCGAGTCAGCCGTCGGGTAGCAGTGCTGCGTCCCGATCCGTCATTGTCAGCTCCGGGAGTGTGCTGGGCATGATTGCTGTTGCGCTGTCGTTGTTTTGAGAGTTGTTTTCTTTGCATGGTACATTCATAGGACTAGCATACACCATGGACCACGTGTCTATCCCCAGGACTATCATATCACTCTGAAGCTATAATTATTGTCCACTGGGGAACTGCCGGTTACATTACGTCATCTATCATCTACTCACGCCGCTTACCATCTGGCTTGAGATCGGTCAGTCTCCCCTCGTTCTCTTTTCCTACCATGTTGCGCCGGACGAACACTGGTACACGCTTCCTTGCGCGCTCTCTCGCGACTGCTTCGACCAGAAGGTGGGCCGTCTACTCCTCTTGAGAGACCTGCCTGACGTTTCCAGTCCGACAGGTATGCGAGCCGCTCATTTCACGAGACCCATGTATGAATTCTATCTTGCTAGCCGTGGTAATGATGAATATGGGTGGTCCTGAGACGGTAAACTATATGCCAGCCTTTTCGCACGTGGCTGGACAGCTTCCAGGTCCCAGAAACGCAGGATTTCCTCAAAAATCTGTTCTCTGATGGAGACCTTATTCCCCTGCCTTTTCAACGTTTCCTGGCGCCGTGGATCGCTCGACGCCGCACGCCCCAAATCGAAAAGCAGTACACGGATATCGGAGGAGGCTCGCCCATCCTGCGTTACACGCGGCTGCAGGGAGAGGGCATGGCGCGTTTGCTCGATGAACTACATCCTGCAACGGCACCGCACAAGGCCTATGTCGCCTTCAGGTATGTGCGGCCCATGACGACCGAGCTGGCGAGTCAGATGAAAGCCGACGGTGTCAAACGGGCCATCGCCTTCACGCAATACCCGCAATACAGCTGCAGCACCACCGGCAGTAGCTTGAACGAGTTGTACCGGAAGAACAAGTCGGGAGATCTGGATCCGGAGATAGAATGGAGTGTCATTGACCGGTGGGGGACACACCCTGGGTTCATCGAGGTGCGTCGGTGCAGTTACAGTTCACTCCCTCAAGTGTTAATTCGTTGGGCAGGCGGTAGCGCAGAACATCGAGAAAGCTCTCGCCAAGTTTCCTGCCGGGACGCGCGATGAGACCGTCATTCTCTTCTCTGCACACTCACTCCCGATGTCCGTCGTGAATCGTGGCGATCCGTACGTGCTTGAGGTCTCCGCGTCAGTGTCGGCTGTCATGGACCGTCTCAAGCACACGAATCCATACCGTCTCGTCTGGCAGTCCCAAGTAGGGCCTTCGGCGTGGATGGGCATGCAAACGGGCGATGCTATCAAAGGTCTGGCTCGACTGGGGAAGAAGCAGCTTGTGATCGTACCCATCGCCTTCACGAGCGACCACATCGAAACCCTGTTCGAAATCGACCTCGAGTACGCCAAGGAGGCGCGAGAAGTATGTCTCCCGATTCCGTCTTTCTGCACACGCGCTGATTGGCTCTAGTTGGGCATTGAGGTTCACCGCGCGGATTCTCTCAACGACTCTCCGGTCTTCATTCGCGCGCTGGCGGATATCACGGTCGAGCATCTTCGCGGATACTCGGCAAATGGCCGGCCCGCAAGTGTGCAGCTCGGGCTCAGATGTCCCGGATGCACCAACGCGACGTGTCATCAGCAGAAGTTGTGGCTGGCCCGGGGCGGGCGATAGTAGTCGTGCGAGATTTGTCGTCGCGTACGTAAGAAATTATATTACATGGTGCTAGTACTGTAGGCCCGGACGCGACGCGTCGTACATGACTAATCAATCACTACTTGATCGCACTTGATTCCGACACGATGAGTTCCACTGTGGTTTCTTGTCCTGGCAAAGTCCTGATCGCAGGCGGCTATCTTGTCCTCGATCGCGCCTATGCCGGGGTGGTCGTCTCTACGTCGTCGCGATTCTACACCGTCATCGAGAATGCAAGCAGTGATCGTCCTCTCATCACTGTCCGATCCCCTCAATTCCTGAACGCGACGTGGATATACACCGTGTCACTGGAGCCTTCCGTTTCTGTGCAACCGGCCGAGCAAAAGTATGACATTCTTAACAACATCTGGAGGACGCGTCATGACCTCACGCCTATAGCGAGAGCAAGAACAAGTTCGTGCATCTTGCGCTGCAGAATATCTTGGCCATCGCATCCGAGCTGAAGGGAATCGATCATGTGAAGCGGGCTATATCATCCGGGATCGACATTTCAATAGTGGGGGACAATGATTTCTACTCGCAAAGAGCCCAGGTTATTGCTGCTCTCTCTCGCAGACCCATTCATAACGCATTCAACGTTCTCCCAGCTAGCCTCCCGCGGCCTCCCTCGGACACTCTCCTCGCTCGCCAAGATCCCGCCCTTCGTGCCGACGGGTGTGGCCCTCTCCGATGTACACAAAACCGGGCTCGGCTCGTCCGCTGCCCTGATCACCTCGCTCGTGTCCTCGCTGCTGGTACACCTCTCCGTCATCTCCCCGGCGGATCTGGATGACACCGACACCCTCAGCCAGGGCCGGGGCAGGCGGCTCGCGCACAATCTCGCGCAATACATCCACTGCCTGGCCCAGGGCAAGGTGGGCAGCGGGTTCGACGTGTCCGCCGCGGTCTTTGGGAGCCACATCTACACCCGCTTCGACCCCGTGGTGCTCCAGACAGCGATGTCCGACGGTTATGTGAGTTTCTGGGTTCTCGAGCCGGTGGTTGCGTTGCTGAGGGGTGGCTTAGTCCGGCTCGTTACTACCGGTTGTGTCCCCCACCAACGAGGCTTGGAACTACGAGATTGGGCAGTTCCAGCTTCCCCCTCTTACCCGGATGATGCTTGCAGATGTCGATGCTGGGAGTGACACCCCATCCCTGGTGGGCAAAGTGTTGAAGTGGAGGAAGGAGGACAGCGCCACTTGTAAGTTGTTCGGCGTGTTCGTCGTCCCCAGTCGCTTGACAGAATCTGTAGCTCACACCCTCTGGACTGCCCTCGATATCCTCAACCAATCTCTGGCGCGGACCCTTCTCAAGCTCAGAGATCAATATGCCGAGAACAAAAGTGCATACACGCACACTCTGGCATTGCTCGCCAGTTCTCCCTCGTCTCAGGTGGTCAATTTTAGCAGGGATCGACGATGGCTCTGATGTGCGTTTCGCAGTGGGGCACTCTCGTAGGTTCGGATGGGCCGATTGTCTCTACATTCCAGGAGGTGCACAGGATATCCGAGGTGCGGATCATCTATTGGCTGCCAGTGAGGATGCTGGTCCCAACTCTCTCTCTCTGACAGGGCATTCGGGAAAAGATGAGAGAAATGGGGACGCTCGCGGGGATTCCGATCGAGCCCATCGAGCAGACCAGACTCCTCGATCTGTGCATCTCGCAGCCTGGAGTTATCGCAGGTGGTGTTCCCGGAGGTCCGTGTGTTTTCTGGAATCCATTTCGAAGGAAAGCGACACTGACCGATCTCAGCGGGTGGCTACGACGCTCTGTGGCTGCTTGTTTGTGACCCCGAGACTGCAGAACAGCACCCTGCGCGCACAGTGGAATCTGTTTGGAGCACCTACTCTGCACTCGATGTCTCGCCGCTGTCTGCCGAAGAAAGCACGGCCAAAGGCGCTCGGATTGAGCAGCTTGACGCCATCCCCGGGTTAAGCAAAGCAATTGCGCATTAATACAAGTGGTTATCTAGATACAGATTTTAGCGCTACCTTCTGTAGTCCATGTTTTTCCGAGTGCGAGATAGAGCGAGATCAGCATAACAACGACACCGAACACAGCACAGACGACAGCGGGCAGTTTCGACCGGCTGTACCACGGCGATCTGCTCTCGGTCAGCTTGAGATAGCAGCTGGCAGGGAATATAAACGCCAGGGCAGTGGCAGAGACTCCGCCCGTGATCTCAAGCATGACACCCAGATCGCATGTGATCAGGGAAACTGGCAACAGGTCAACAATCAACCGCAAGCGATTCGCTCCAGCCAAGACTCACGCAGCATCGAGGAAAACAGGATTGTCGTCGTGAAGAATATATGCCTTTGCATGTTGAAACTCTCGTGCGAGAAAAAGTACTGCTCGATAACCTGAGGAATATTAGCAACAAGCCGGTTCAGAGAGGAAAGGAGAATCACCTCTCGGCACACGAACAGCTCAAGCGGCAGCGTCGTGAACATGTTGAGGCCGAAGCAGAAGCGTGCAACGTTGATGAGCGTGTCGTCCTGCAAGGTTTGGGTCATAGATCGGGATGCAGAGCTGATGGACATACTCGGGCAAAGTTGTTCAGGATATTTCCCTGGGTTTTGTCTGTGAAGACAATGTAGCCCGATATGGCCAACGTGCAGCATGCCACAAGAGACAGTAGCGTCGAAACGTGGGTGACAAGGTAGAAACGATCGAGGGTGGGGGTCTGCAAGCTCCCGTAGATGAGAAGAGAATTGTGATGGCAGACTGGATGTTCAGGTCAGCGGCGCTTCGAGCAGAAAGAGGCCCAGTGCTGACCAAATGCAAAGCTGATAACCCCGATAGCCTGGAAGATACCTGGCTCGATAATCGAGAACCGTTTCGCAGGGTCTCCTCGCAATTCAGGTGTGACGTTCGGACTTTCGATCATGACCGACGCAACGATGATCACCATCCCGATCAATGCCAGCCCCGAAGCTCTGGACAGTTTATGTATGTCGCGGTAGAGTGAAAGGGGATAGGACACGCCAATGGTGCACAAGGAAATGATAAAGTTGCGATTGACGAAGAGATTCAAAACGGGTACCGAGTACAGTTCAGGGAATATCGAACGAATGACGTGTGGTATCGTGTCGCCTATGATGATCCCGAACGCACACATTCCTGGTTGTCGTTTGAGGGCGCGCGTTACTGGACGTGGAGAACGACATACCGCCGAATGCGAAAGCGAACTGGAAGAAGGAGACCGCTGCGCGACCACTGGAGCCGAAGCAGTGGGTCATAATGTCGATGTACGAGTGAGTGCCGCTCATTTTCGCATTGACGACGATTAGCCGGATAGTCCAGTCTGTCACTCCGCACAGCACGACCAACAGAAACAAGCCCGTGAAGAATCCGGCTTGGCTGACAGCATATGGGAGACCTATGGTCCTTGAGACAACATATTGCTTCCAGAATGAAATGCGCACCAATGATTCCTGGATGAGAAGACGTCACACGATGTCCTCAAAAGAGTTCCAGTTCTGACGCACCGGCACCAAGGATCGAGTTGGCCATATTGGCTATTGAATCGAGCAGTCCACCACCGGCCAAACGCTTCGCAGCCAGCTCCTCCAGGTCTTCGGTCTCCACCGACGACGGCAGCATCTCGCCATTCTGTGCCAGCAGCGGAACGGACACGTCAACCGGACCACGGGAGCGAGTCGAGTCGAACAGCCCCACGATGAGAGGCATCGAACGGCCCGCCGGCCTAGATGGCAGCTCATCCTCGTCAATCTCATCCGTGTCTTGCTCGAATTCTGTTCGGCGTGGGTGACCAACGAATGAACGTCTAACCGGGACGGCACCTGTTTCCCGACTGGAAGTCATGGAGCGAAGGGACGGTGGTATGACGCAGGCATCGTCCTCGAGCCGGGCAGCCGGTTCGTGTATGTCCTCCGAGCCCGGGTCCCGCTCTTCATCAGAATCCAGCTGAAAGAGGGTGCTGTCGTCGGAGCCATTCTCTTGTTGCAGAAGGGGCTCGTATGTTCCTGAAGTCCGCTGACCCCGTAAACCAAACATGAGAGGGCGGAAGGCGAGCCAAGGTTGCTTGAAGCAGATTCAAACAATCTTTGAAGCAAGCAGGTTTGGAGAACGAAGAGAGGAAAGTGGATCCCGAATTTGGAAACAAAGCTCTGACAAATGTGTGTGACGTAACGCGAACCTAACTAAAATAACTTGGTCCTACCCATCTTCGGCCTGTAGTCTCCGCGAGACAGGTCTTTGTCCTTGAGCATGGTCTCCTCTATTATTCTTCTACTCTTGCCGGCTACTCTCGTTGTTGCGGACAACCTTACACCTCAAAGCATTGCCTCGCAATTCAGTCTGACAACGAGGCAAGCTGCGCTCGAAACCTCGGCTAGAGGCGTGCCAATAATGATCCAATCTCACAGCACCGTCTTGCCCTTCCCCACCGCTACGCTGAGCAGCACTGATGCAGAATGTAACGCTTATTAGCCTCCATCATTCTCGCAACCGGCAAATTTTGATCTATGGACAGCTTTGCTGGTTTCCCAATGGTCTCTGGACAAAGACCGTCTGCAGAACGGGGCCGAAGATCTCTCATTCGTAGACGATCCGTTCCCCAACAATCCTGCACCGGGCGTTTCCTCGAGCTCCGGTCCTGTGCTGCAGGTGACATACCCTGCTGGCAGCTTCTCCGGTGCAACGGGCGGTGCTCAATTTTACAATATATGGCAAACGACCAATTCCAGTGGCTTCCAGTCGATGCTGCTGACATACGAAGTGGCCTTTGATGCGGGCTTTGACTGGGTCAAAGGCGGCAAACTGCCTGGACTACGAGGGGGCACCAATGCGACGGGATGCAGTGGAGGACAGCAGTCGGATGGGCTGAGTTGTTTTAGTTCCCGACTCATGTGGAGACCCAACGGTGCTGGAGAAGGCATGTGATAAACAGTTCATCCCCAGCTTGCAGTCTGACACCTAAAAGTTTATGCTTACATTCCCGAACCTAACAACCTCTGCTCCGAGAAGTCCATCACGTGCAACTCTGACTTTGGGATATCCATTTCTCGGGGATCGTTCACTTTCACAAGCGGAGCGTGCGTCCTTGACGAATTTCTATTTCCGTTCGTTGTATCCTGACCCGAAATAGCTGGAATCAGGTCACGCTTCTGGTGCAGTTGAACAATCCCATCAATGTGGCGAATGGGAATATCGAATTATAGTGAGTGTCCAGGGATTTCGAAAGAAATTGACTCTGATCTGTATGCAGTCTGAACGGAGTCAAAGCCTTGGCACAGCAGGACCTGCAGATCCGGGCGGCCAACAGCGTCACGGCTGGGGGCATGTACTTTTCGTACGTCAGATCGCTTACTTGACGAGCAGAATTGTTCATACGCCGCTTGCAGCACCTTTTTCGGGGGCTCAGACTCGAGCTGGTCGACTCCGACGACGACCCACACCTATTTCCGCAACTTCCAGTTGTTTGGAGGCTACAACCCGTCGACTTTGACCGGTGCAACCGTCAAAAGTTCGGCGTCCCGGTGTGTGCCAGGTTTCAGCACTCTCTTAGTTATATGTTCCGGACTATTCATATTTGTATTGTAATCACGATTCGTTTGAATGCATGCGACGCGGACATTTCACTTACTTACCACACACATGAAGGATCATCGAGCTTACATCATCTGATCTGTTATCAATGTTTCCGTGGACCCAGATCGATTAGATTTCAGGTCACATTACTCATTCACTCGTCATCACCGCTCCGTAAGCGGTCTCCCGGCGGTGTCGTTTATGGTATATGTGGCCGGCCTGCATCTGATGTACTCTCGAATGCGGTTCAAGGGGCTGCTTAAGCTTCCATCTTTCTCCAGACGCGACCAATCAGCCATGTCGTATCGTGCTGCCACCGAAGAGCGCAGATGGAACAGCGTACGCTTCTCTTCGTCCCCACCTGTGGACCTGTGGCTCATGCTGCCTGTTGTAGATTTCGCAGGTAACATCAGTCCTGTCTTGCAGAGGCATCCTCAGCTGAACACCTGCAGAAAATGGAAGGATTCCATAATTATTTCAAGCAAGAATGTATGCCCATGAGATGATTCTCTGCCCCTGCGCTGGTTCTGGGCGTCTCTCACACAACGGCAGTCAATACGATATACGAGCTCGCAGATGGATCCTTCACACAACGCGGCCTCAGTCTGAGCCTCTTCCTGCAGATGGCTACGCGTTTGAACCATCGCAAGTGCCCAGATCCCATCCCCGAGGTCACTGCTCTGACCCGTGCTCCAGACTTGACGATGCACCACACGATTGAGGAAGCACACATCTTCCCCATCCTGGCCACGAAGATGCCGCAGGTGGGCACTCCCGGGATAACCGAAGTTCCAGGTCGCCAAGCGCTCATACGCACACGCAGTTCTCGACAGAAACGGAACATGCCCACATTGATTCCCACAAGGGAATCCACGATGGTTCTCCAAAAGTCGTTGCCTATCTGAGCTTTACTGACCGATCCCCGTGGCAGGGCTGGAGGCGCTGGGAGAACTCGTCCAAAAGTACAAGGCCGAGCCCTCCAGTTATTGTTCGTCGTCAAGGTTGTTTTATTCGCGTGACATAGCTGTACTGATCCGTGACCAGCACCGTCGGAATTGCGAGCCTGTCTGGATGGTTTCCGTGATGTCATGTTCAATCACCTAGACGAGGAAGTCAACGACTTGAGAGGAGATAATATGAAGAAGTACTGGACTTTAGAGGAGCTAGATCTTATACCCATGTAGCTTGACGCGCGCTTATCAGATTAGATGTGAGCATAATTAGCGAGTATGTCTGATTAGTATTTGTGACTCAGACTCAGAGAGCCTGGCTTTACTCACCATGTCTGCTATCCAGCCTCGTCCTGAGGAGAATCCAACCTCCATTCCCGCCGGCCCTTCGCTCCAACCCACTTCCTCTCATGAGACGCTGCCCTTGTATTCACAAGACGAGGACCGCCGCAGATCTCTAGAAGACGCGGCGACGCCCCTCCCTCCAGGGTGGTTCTGTCACTTAGACGAGCAGTGAGCGTTCAAACCGCACACACCCAGCACGTTCACTCAAGAGTTAAAGCACAAATCACCATTACTATGTACTTGCCATTCCATTCAAGCTCTGGCAGCTGGAATACTGACGCGCCCAGGTGGACATGAACAGCAGCCCCCCTCGTTCGGTGTGGCAACATCCTCGATACGACGCTGAAGAGGCAGCGCTGGCGCCTGCGTACGCATCGCCTGGACCGCAGCCCAAGACCGTTCTCGGCAAACTGAAGGCGAAATGGAAAGCCGAGCTCGAGGAAGAGAAGAAGCAGAAAGAGACCCAGCGACGCGAAATCCTGGAGAGGTATTCCGCCAGACGCGCGCAGGTGCTTGAAGAGCTCGTCAAAGACGGGAACCCCGGCCTGAGCGACTATGTGGGGTGAGCCAAGTCGAATGATCGTGATTGATGACGACATTGACGAATTCATCATGCAAGACCCCCGCCGTCGCCGTATGGGGGTGTTTACCGGGGTCTGACTCCCAGATTAGCTCGGAATCTGGGCGGATGGCTGGCATAGCCTCGATTGTGCAAATTACATGTGGCCTTATGATACAACACAAGTAGTGGTGTATACGAATCATTACGGAGCGTCTCGTTCAAGTTCATCCGCGGTCGGCTGGTGCTGTGTCTCAATCGCCGGATCCGTCCACGGCACATGCAGGACGCCCATCTCAAAGTACGGCCTCTCCGGGTCGTCGGCCGCGTCGGGCGGCTGCGGCATGCTAATCATAAACGCAAGATCAAGTTTCTCAGGAACTTGGATCTGTCGTCGTACACGGGGGTTCCGGCGAGGTTGTTGCCATGCCGGGAAACCAAAATAGACGACGAAGGGGTTCCGTGTCGGACGCGGCGGCCACGCTGCGTCCTTGTCGCCGGGGGGAGATTTGTCATCGATGACGTCTCGTTTGACCATCGACGCGGACAGCGGCTGCAAACGACCAGACGGCGTCAATGAACGATCGCGTGCGCAGTGGGATGCTCAGGTACTCGCCATGAAGTCCGACCAGAGGTGGCGCCTAGTCGGGGTGTATAAAGGCTGCGATATGACGGGTACGGCCATGAGCCTCACGCGCGTGTCGTCGTCCGACCCGTAGAGCATCATCTCGCGCATTAGGTGCATGCGTCTCCGGCGGGCGAGGAGGCCGAGCGAGAGGAACAGGAACAGGAAGGCGAGAAAGGCGACCAGGAAACCAAAGTAGTACGTAGAGCCGGACGTCGCCGGATTATTGTTGTTGGGTGGCGGGGAGAACGAGGCCGATGGAGCAGAGGCGGGGGGCTGCGAGATCTGGGCCTGGCCCGCAGACGCCACTGACGTGGTTGTCGACATGAGCGTCCTGGGGGGGAGTCGACCGTGTGAGCGGACCGATGGGAGCCGCTGCTACTCAGTGAGTGTCATCCGTTCACAGCATACCGTACATGAATAGACGCAGTCACGCCCTGTGACCCACAATGATTAGATGATGTCGAGTAAGTATAGACTACGACTGTAACGAAGTATGTGGAAAGCATAAAGTATGGTATATTTTCCCCGTCCGTGACACGATTATCTGCGACTGGCCGTTTCCGAGCAAGGGTTTGTGACATTCAGTGCAATTTCGGTGTCTAGGCGCCCAGCCTCTAACGCGTTCTTGGGTTGCCTGCTCGACGATGACAAACAGATCGCGATCGACGAGATTTTTGGAGATGGATAGCATGTCGCCATCTGATCGGTATGACTCAAGCATTCCCGTCAGGATCGTCTTGAACTCGGTGTACTGAGTCCCAGTTGTCGACGGGGTCGCTGAGGTGACGAGTCGTTTGAAAAGATGGGGGAACGAAACAGCTCGTGTCGAGCTGATTGAGACCAGAGCCTCAAACGTTTCTTGGACCAGCAGACGAAGCTTCGAGAGCGTATGATCCAGCTTGCCCTCCCGGCCAGGGATGAGGTCTGTGGAACAGCCAGTGAGATTCTGCACGCAGCTGATCTGGCTGTTCAGGAGCTGGAACCAGATATCTTCCAGCGGGACCTCTGTCGCCGAAGCACCTTGCGATCGCTCGAGACAAATTGTGATGCCGGTTTTCCCCATCGCCTCCAGATCGCCGAGTTCCTTCTCCAGGGAGACTTCTGGATCGTCTGCGTTGTTTAGCGACTCGACCAAGCGAGCGGTCAGTTGCTGCTCGTAGGTAGCTGCCTTGGCAAGGGCCTCTCTAGCGTCGCCTTGGCGGTTGACCGCCCAAATCACGGCATCGAACGCCTCGTTTGTCTCGCAAGTCTGGATCAGCTTGGGCCAGTCCAGGTCATCGGCAGGAAGACTGCTCAGGGTGGCGACGATGTCACGTGGATGATATAGACATTGGAGGGCGACAAATGCTTCGCAGAGCGACAGCGGTGCCTCTGCTGGCGACGCAAACAGGTGTTCCAGATACATGAATCGCTCGTGGCCGCCCAAGCTCGCGAGCGCCACCTCGTGCAGATGCCCTGTGTACTTGTTGACCAAGGCTGCCGTCCCCGTGATGCTCGAGTCCAGCAGATGTGGGAGGGCCGACGCGACTGTGGTCGCCATATCGGACGGCAGAGTCCCTTTGTTGCCACGCAATGCGGTGCGCAGGATATCGTCCGCGTTCGAAAAGAGCTCAGATGAGCGCAGGTCGGGGTCATCGAAGTAGGTGCACAACAGAGGCACCCATTGGTGCTCTCGTCGATACCATGTCCGGAGAATGCGGTAGAAGCCGGCGGCCTCGAACAGATGGATGATGCGTTCGCTTTCGTGAGGATTGAAGCAGGACAGCAGATATTCGGCTGCCAGCTGCCGGTCCTCTCGCGTGTCGGGATCGGGATCTTCTGCAAGACGGACAAGGATACCGTGCAGCAAACTCGGCTTGAGCGTCTTCAGAGCCTGCTGGTATTTGGGCACGTTCCGGGCGACAAAGATGTCGGTGAAGGTCACGTCACATGGCGGGAAACGGCCGGAGGAGATGATTTCCAGGAGAATGCGTACAATGACAAGGCGGCTGATGGGAAGTGACTCGTCGTTGAGATACGAATCCTCGAACGCAATGTCCAGCGAGTGCAGAAACGACTCGGCATCGAATCGCAGTAGCAGTCGAGCATACGGATAGGTGGGTTCTGGGACACCCTCCTCGTCGGACGTCAGCACGAGCTTGCCTCCGTCTCCCTCGGGCCATATGCTCGATCGGCCCGAGAACAGAAATGCATAAACATCTCTCTTGGCCAAAGCCGCTTCCTCCGGCGGTAAAGGCTCTTCGCTGGGGTAAGACAGTCCGGACAGACAGTTGGCAAGATACGGATAGATTTTGTACGCGTTGAGAATCACCGGCTCCATGGGATGGCCCTCGGGCACCGGTTCGGCCGAAGTTCTCCGATGCTGCTGAACCTTACGGATGAGGCCCAGCAGCGTCACCACGGGTGCCACATAGTCGTTGAGAGCACGCGTATAGACATAGATCAATGCATCGTACAGATGGTGTCTCTCGCACAGAGTGATGGCCTGGTTGATGTCCAAGCACAACGGGTCGATGTGCCAGATCACGCGCTCCACCAAGTCAGGTCGGCCGTCCTGGTCGTGGAGAGCCACCAGCCGCTGTGTAATTCGTGGAGGGACGTTGCGGATGTCGCCGGAGAGGATGAACGACTCGAGTTGCAGCAGATAGATGCGGGTGATCCCGGCGTCCTCGTAGTACTGGAACAGGTCCTCGAACACAAACTCGCAGTCCTTCAGCGCAACGCAGGCTCGAGCACAGCAGTCCACCAGCCCTTCGAACAGCGCCGTCCGATCGACGCCGCGGCCGTCGAGAGTGTCGTGCGTTCCATCGGACATCCGGTCCTCAGAGAAAGCATATCGGCTCGAAGCCACCATGAGCTCTCTGATCTTCTCGCCGATGGTCACCTCCCGAGCGGCGGCATCGTCGGGTAGCCCGTTCAGATTGCCCGGAGCCTCCCCCAGGTAGTACGACCGAGCGAGGTCGATTGCACTCAGGAAGTCGCCGTCCTGCACGAAGCCCAGGATTCGGTCGGCCCATGTAAGCAGCGTGCCAGCTTGCACATAGTCTCGGCCCTTGCCGCTGCATCAGTCATTATCTCGCCCAGGGGATCATCAGATGACTCACCAGGAGGAATATCTTGCCCTTGTAGACCCTGATGCTCTGTGCGACATCGCCCACCGAGTCTAGATATGGGACTGAACCGTTGATGGTCGCCCTCAGCGTCGGAGAGACAAGACTCAGGCCATCAAAGGGCACAGATTCGACAGCCTTCGCAAGACCCGCGTCGTATACATGCAGTGTGGACGCCGTCAGAACTATCACTTGCTGAGACCAGTCAGTTGCCGCTGGAAATAAGTTCGAAACACATACATTCGCATTGAGCCACTGAACAGCAAGAATAGCCTCCGTTGCAGACCACTGCCCAGCTTCGGAGTAAACAATCCTTCCGACGTCCATCTCCGCTGTCTTCCCTGTCCGCGAGTTCTTCGCAAGCTGCTTCGCCCGATTTTCGGTGATGCGAAGAAGGAACAGCGTATTGGCCCAGCTAAACGCGAGAATCGGAGCAGTGTTCTCGCCCGCATTCGGAAACCAGGCCATCGAACCCCTCCATTTGTTTCCTGAATCCATCACATTCCCAGGACGACGGTACTTGAACCACGTCTTGGGTGTGGGCTTGAGCCCGACCACAACCAGTTTCGTCGGCGTCAAGAGTGCGATGACGTGGTAGCCGTCCGTCGTATGGGGTGACGCGCCCAGAGGAAGTGGCATCATCGAAAGTATCGTGTACCGAGACCGCTTTGTCCCTGCGCTCACGGGGGCATTGTCTTCCATGTATTTACCGAGGATGCGCAGAATGTCCGACGCCTCGACGAATAAAAGCTTGCCCAGACTATGATAAAACGCCAGCCCATGCTCGTCCGCGGTCACCAACGCCGTATGTCGTCCCGCCACGAAACCGATACTCAGAATACGCGAGCCTTGGATATGTCCCTCTTGTCGGCCAGACGCCACTGCCGTGAGCGTGATCGGAGGAACAGTTCGCGCAGGACTACTTGGGTTCTTGAGATCAAACAGCTGGATGTATCCTGATGCATGACCGGATGCAACAAACGTATGATCATGCGAGAGAGCCAGTGCAGTGACTGGGCCCACAGCCTTGCCTGCTCGGGTTCAGATCCATCGCGAGCATATATGCGGCATTGACTCACCCGCAGTATCCTCTCCACAAACGCACTTCAAAGTCTGCTGAAGTCATATACACAAATAGAACCCGTGTCGGTCCCGATGCATATAAGCCCATTAGCCGCAAGCACGGTCGGAGCCCCGTGGCTAGAATTTCCCAAGACAGACGTCGCCTTCTTGGGCCCAAATGCATGCTGTGTTATGCTGCGCAGCGGAGTCCAACGAAACACCTCACGCTCCGTCCGGGCTTGCTTATTTTTGACGGGAGCATCACTGGACGACGGGGTGTACATGTTCGACGGCGATGACGCACGCGAGATTGACGAGAAATGGGATGGAGACGGCGACGCGTCGAAAAAGTGCGAGTTCACAGAACCAAAGCTGGCCGAGGACATAGGGCGGGAGCCTGGAGTATACGAACGCAGACGCGATACATTCGGGTGGAGGAATGGTCGCGATAGCAGCTTCGATGGTGTACCATTCAAGCTCGGAGAGTCCGCGCGCGGGGGAGTTAGAATGCCAGCTGACGAAACGCTCAAGGACGGGATGACTTCATCGTCTTGCTCCTGCAGATTGTCTCCATATCAAACGAAAAGCATGTAAATGTAGTCTTACCAGCGGGACGTCGTCGTCGTCGGAATGGGATGCGTCTGGCGGAATTATAAGCGAGTGCTCTACTTCGTGTACTTCGTGATCTTCCTCGTCCGGTTCGCCTTCGGACCCCAGTACCTCCCGCAGTCGATCCTTGTACACAAACGAAGTCTCAGGGGCGTCTTCTCCGTTATACACGAATCCCTCGTCGTCATCCTCGTCTTCGTCCTCCTGCTCGCTCACTTGCGCGTCCGCATGGTCACCCATGACATCCTCCATTCGCGACAGGTAGTCCCCAGAGTCAACCTTGTCCTCATTGGCGTGGAGGGTGTGCGTGTCGTCGCCATTTTCGTCAAGGTCAAAGTCCTGCAGATGCAGAGAGGACATGGTCGGTGACAGACATACAAGTGACGTTGCACGTGATCCGATCGCCTCTTTCATCACGCGTCGAGTCGCGCGGACTGCCTACTAAGATTAGGACGGAGAACGAGGATGAACGCGTCTGCCATAGATCATAGCATGCTAGATGGTCTTAGGACATCCGTCAAGGAGTGTTCTGACCGGGGCTTGTTTGCGGCGTCCAAGTGGTACGTCTAGGGTTTCTCCCTGCATCACTGGGGCTCACCGGAGGTTGTAGGGCATCCGAGCTGTTGCTATCTGTTCCATTCTCGAGAAGACACGCATCTGGATTGAACTTGTCTGATCCCGCGTACGTTGCGACGCAGGATTCAGAGGCTGCCGCCACGTCTTCGCGGCACCCTGATGCACCGAACATCCAGCTGGTCTCGGAGAGCACGCAAACCCTGCAGCGGGAGCTCGAGATGCTAGAGGCTGATGCATTGTCCACTGCACGCACCCTGATCGAGGCACGAAATCCCATGTCTGCACTGCATGCCCTACAAAACTGCCGGAGTTCCAAAGCGATGTTCCTCAGCCTCTACATACAATTTTTGGTCAGATTTGGCTCCCAGCACTGTGATTGATGGCTTATATGTAACGACAGGCTTCAGAAGGCAGAGCTTTGAGAAGCTGGCATAAATATGATAGTACGCGGCAAACCTTGCGAGTTTTACGTGCTTTGAACTGCCATAGACAACCGATTCCAGCCGCGAGATCCAGTCAATCCTGCTATTGACAAGATGTTGACTGAAATAACTCACTGTCTGGAGACGGATCATATTGACGACCCCTGGTTGCTGTATCTGTGAGCAGGTTCGCTCTGTCTTTCCGGCCTTAAAGCCGAACAACTCCAGGCATGGCCTCTTCCTCTCCAGGATTCCTGAGCGGCGGGATGAGGCCATCGAGAGTGCCATATTATCGATCGCAGGGTTTCCCTGGAACTGGGCCGCGTGGATGTTACTGAGCAGTTGCATTGGAGATGGAGAAGAGGTATTTCCCCCCTACTTCTCGTGACTGACTTCGCTGAATACCAAGGCAGCTAACGTCTATCATGCCTCTGCTTCCTCTTGCATCGTCCCACCCGATGGTTCAGATGTTTCAGGTCAAAACCATGAACGAGCTGCAGATTCCGTCGGACAACGAGATCGGTCTATGTGATCAGCTTTTGTCTCGGGAAATGTTTCCAGGGAGCATCTGGCTGATGAGTCTTCGGGCCTTTGCCTTGTATTGTAGTCATGGTGCGTCCGCAATCATCATTGCGAGAGGGTTCTCATCTCATTCGCGCACAGAGTTCAAACGCGCAGAGACGCAGTTCGAAAGGATCTTCGCGCTCGATCCACATCGCGTTGAAGACGTGGACACATACTCGAATATTCTTTACACAGTCGACAATCGCTTGAAATTATCCAGAATGGCCAATGACCTACTGCTCACAGACAGAGACCGACCTGAAGTCTGCTGTTTAGTAGGTCCGGCCAAGGTGCCCGTCGTCAGACTAAACCACTCACCTGTGAACAGGCAATCTATACTCGCTGAGAGGCGAACACGATAAATCGGTGAAATTCTTCCGGCGAGCGACTCAGTTGGACAGAACATACCTGCCGGCCTGGACTTTGATGGGACATGAATATGTCGAGATGAAAAACTCGCACGCTGCAATCGAATCCTATCGTAAAGCGATAGGTAACTAGGCCGAACGTGTCTTTATTTGTGACACTGACAGACGCACAGAGGTCAATCGGAAAGACTACCGAGCATGGTATGGGTTGGGCCAAGCCTATGAACTTCTGAACATGCACCAATATGCACTACACTATTATCATTACGCGACAGCGCTGAGGTATGTCATAGTCCCAGTCACTGTGCATGGCTAACATCGTTCAGACCCTATGATGTTCGACTCTGGCAAGCGCTCGGTTTCTGCTACCAAGAGATGGGCAAGCTTCAGGAGGCAATTGATTGTTTCAAACGTGCCCTGATAACCGCCGACTCTCATGAAATTACCCTGGTGGCCCGACTGGCCGATCTCTACGGCTTGCTACAGGATCCGATTGAGAGCATCGCATATCATAGGCGGGTGGTGGAGATATCCCAAGCATGTGGTCAGTTCGACTCTCACCGGCTGTCATGATCGCTCACTTTGGCAGGTCGCCCGATTGGAGACTTTGCAAAATCTAGCTTGAAAGTGGCTGAATACCAGATGAACACCGACGGTGACCTTCTCCTTGCGCAGGAATATCTTCGGCCTATTGCCGTCAGCAACGTTGAGGAAGTCGTCCGGGCGACTGACCTCTTGAAAGCTGTCACATTGATGTTGGAACAACGTAGGAATACAGCAAGGGTAGCAAGTCTTGCGATGTCAGTAGAGACGGTACAGCCCACTTGAAGTTGCCCGTTTCCCATGTATAATATATTGGACATCAGGTTTCTCGACCCAAACTGATTTGTCACGCGTTCTGGTTTGGATCGTGCAAACAAGTCGGATGTCGACGAATTTTCAGCCCTCTCTTCCTTCCTCTCACGCGTCCACGAGCCGTATCGATCCATCTCCGTCAACGCACTATCCGAATGCTTCAGCTCTTGCTTCGTTTTCAGTCCCCCTAGCGGCTCAGCCAACATATACCGTCACTAATGGGACCTGGAAAGTTCCAGCTAATTGGGCCTTGCCTACCGCTCATGGGACGCCTATCCCATCGAAGAAGATACCAGCGCCAAAGAGAACACCAGAGGAGGAGGAGATTGTCAAGGAAACTGCAGCTCGGTCAGCGGATGCCCTAGCATCAATCTCAGCTCTCGCTTATGAGGATTACTCTTCCAGTTTCGCTTCGCAATTAGCCTCAGACCATACTGCCGTTTTGAACCCTAGCACCGATGCCTTTGTCGACGTGGACGATGTCGTCAAACGACTTCTGCCCTACCATGTCTACTATCAACCACGCGCCGATCTGGACAGGAAGGGGAAGGGTAAAGCTGAGGACGAGATGAAATCTGAGATCAAAGGTACGTGTTTTTCTTGCCAGAGTTTTTATGCTCACGTTGTGGTTAAAGAAACCAAATTTGCTCTTGAGTGTTTTAAGCGGAAGCGAAAACTGGAAGAGAGGTATCGACAGATTCGGACACGTCAGGGAAAGGTCAGTCTTTTCTTCCCTACCGCCTTGCCAACTGGCTCATCCAGAGCATCACAGCGACCCGCACCAGATGACCAAGCCGTCTTTCTTGAGCAAGCCGTGCTCGAGGCCGATCGAACAGAGAGCGCGATGCTCAATGCTGAGTTGCGAGGTGTCAGGCTTCATTTGGATAAAATCGAACGCGAGAGGCGCAGCCAGAACGCCCGTGTCCAGGCCGCCACGCAGTACTATCGGACCTATCCATATGCATATGCTCAGCAATACGCACAAGCAGCTTCGGGAACCGCTGCGGTACCTCAACCAGGAGCATCAGCTTCGACCGTGTCTCAGCCGGTGACACTACCGAGTGCTCCGGCAACGCAACCCATACCTGTCCAGTTGCCTGTGGCGCTATTGCCCAGTCTGCAAACTCTCGGTATTCAACCTGTCCCGGCCTCATCGTTGTCAAATGGGACCGCCCAAGCAACAGCTGTTCTGACTGGATCTTCGCCCGACGGAACTGTACTAAATCTTGAAATCAACATCGGGCTGCTGCAGCCTACACAGATTGATGGCCTGCGTTTCATATTGTCGTCTCTGTTGCCTGCGGCTGCTGCAGGCCAGGCAGGAGCTGGTTGAATTGGCGTTCCGCAAAGAGTTTGTACATAGTTCAGAAGTAATCCTTATAACCGAAAGCAAGCTTGGTGTATTGGCAATCCGCATATTATTATCATGAATGACAACAGTGATGACCAGGCCCGTCGCCTGAATTAGCGCTTTCGTTTACTGCCAGGAACAAGCATTGCGGCACGTAGGAAGAGAGCGGTGGGAGACTGTACAGGGTTCAAAGAAGATTGAATTGGAGTTTTAGCGGAAGACGAATACGGTCACAGAGAGAGAAAAAAGTAAATTATGTGCATCGCCCTACTATCTAGAAATCCATCATCAGGCGCAAAGAGCCCATAGTGTTGCTAGCGAAAGGGGACCCTGGTAGTAGTTCTCCGACAGCTGTAGATAGGAAACCTCCCCAGTTTGCACAGAACTGGCAAGGGGCAAATAAGTCGTTAGAAGAGAGTGTTACGCCAGATTGGGCTTTATATACAGTTCAAGATCGGCAATCACTTCGGCAATCGAGTCTGAACACCGACACAGCTGGTATTAGTAAGCGAGAACGTTCAAATTGAGCACGAGCTCATTTATTTCTACTGCGGTGTTCGAAGGGTGCTGGGATCCTATGGATGAAATGCCAGCGCTTAGTACCCACATTGACCTGACTCCAGTTTGAAAGAAATTCGTGGGACACCTACGTGATCGACTCTTTTAATCTTACCTGACAGTGATGTACGTTTGTGGAGCGCCCAGACCGAAAGACAACTGACAAAGTGTTCAAGAGAAAAATCCCCATAAGAACAATTCGCAAATTGCAACCACTCTGGACTAGTTTTCGCGTCAACTGAAACAAACTGGGTTGTGAGACCGCTTTGTGGCAGCTGACATGACCGCGATCTCAACGCTTATTTGTTGACGTGCGGCTATATTGCCCTTGGCAATCACTCTCACCCTGAGATGCCTGCTTCTCCTTCCGCCAGAGCGATGGAGAATAGTCCATTCGCACCCTCCACCACAAGTTGGAGAAGAGCCAGGCTGACGCGCATAGGGAGTGCTTCTACGCTGCGCGCAACGCCTGGCGCCGAGTCCGAGTCCGCTGCTCTTCGCTCCGAGAACGGTCGCTCCTATGGCACTCTGGGACCCCACTCTCGCCAGAAACCCCCTCCCATCACGCTGCCGCCCAACTCTTTCTCCAGCCCCTCGAGCCCGGCCCGATCCCCCGCCGTTTCCGTATTCCGGGACCTCGCGTACAGCCGGTTGAGCCAACGCCCGATCAGTGCGTACGATGCTCCGCCGCCTCCGGAGCATATGACGGACACGGAGGTTGATGCTAAGATTAATGGAGTGCGGGTCTGGTGCGTGGTTCCTGGGCCGGTGGAACCCACAAGACCTGATGCATATGCTACACAGGTACTCGTCGTTCACGTCAATCGACTGGCTGCACGATGCAATTAAAGACTCGGTGCGCTTTTCACGACTCCGGAAACGGAAATCTCTGCGTGCACGTGTACGCCTGGCGCTCGACAAGAGTTTGGGGTGGGCGATAGTGACCATCGTCGGCTTTCTCACTGCTGTGGTTGCTTTTTTGGTCGTCCGTGGAGAGCAATGGCTGTTCGATCTCAAGGAGGGTTATTGCCGCGAGGGATGGTATAAAGCACATCGCTTCTGCTGTCCTGAGCTTGCGGACGATTTGGTCAACTCGTGTCCTGCGTGGAGAACGTGGTCGGAGGTGCTCGTACACGATAAGTCCAGTCTCGGTTCAGAGGCTGTCGAATATCTGTCCTATTCTGTCATCGCGGTATGTTTACCCTCCAGCTTCCTGACTCGTGTCTGACTCGTGTCACAGCTTGGCCTTGCCACACTGTCGTGCGCCTTGACGCTGTTCCTCACTAATTCGACCACTTTCAGCACGCGAAAGGAGTCTGGTGTTCTCGGGTCTGGATTCGGGGACGCCAATGATGTTCCTGAAATGCCAAAGCGCAAAGTGATGTATTATGTGCGGCCCCAAAGATTTTACTTCCCCCAGTTCCCGGCTCATACTTCTTTCAGGCCGCAGGAAGTGGGATCCCTGAGATCAAGACGATTCTTTCGGGCACGTATTTCCTGTTTGGGACGGATGCCGTCTTACAACAGTGTAGGATTTGTGATCCATGGATATCTCGGAGGTCGTACGTTGTTTACGAAGGCAGTTGGGCTGGCTTTGTCCGTAGCATCCGGGCTTTCCCTGGGCAAGGAAGGTCCCTTCGTGCACATCGCCAGTTGCGTCGGCAATATCGTCAGCCGCTTCACCACGAAATACGAAAACAACGAAGGTCTGAGCCCGGACAGGATTTTGAGATGTTGGATTGACGATTGCTCTAGCCAAGAGACGGGAGATTTTAAGTGCAGCATGTGCAGCCGGTGTTGCAGTTGCGTTTGGAGCTCCGATCGGTCTGTACATTCGACTTGTGGTACACCTGGATAGTCTGACATACTTGTAGGTGGCACGTTGTTCAGTTTGGAAGAAGTGTCGTATTATTTCCCTCCCAAGGTCATGTGGAGAAGGTCTTATCTGCTGCATTCGGCACTGCTGGCTAGCCCGCTGACCTGCGTATCAGCTTCTTCTGTGCCATGATTGCCGCAATTACGCTGAAGATTCTCGATCCATTTGGCACCGGCAAGCTTGTTCTCTTCCAAGTCACCTACGACAAGGTGTGGCGTCCTGAGGAGAAATGTATACACGTGTCTGATAATGACAGGACTGGCACGCGTTTGAACTGTTTCCGTTCCTACTACTCGGTGTCTTCGGTGGCATCTACGGCGCCTTCTTCTCCAAGCTCAACTATCGCTGGTCTCGTGACGTTCGCAATCAAACATGGCTCAAACAACATCCTGTGGCCGAAGTCGTGCTCGTCACTGTGATCACCTCAGCACTGTGTTTCCTCAACCCATACACCCGGATGGGCGGAACCGAGCTCGTCTACAACCTGTTCGCAGAGTGTCGCACCGGCTCAGGGAATACTCATTCGGGATTGTGCGTCGTTGACCCTGGCTCGATCGCCCACGTATGGCCCGTTGCTCGGGCCATCCTGATCGCCTTGGTTGTCAAAGGGTACGTCTCGAGCTCTCTTGGACCAACAGGCGTTAATCTTCTCGCCTTCAGCGGTCTGACAATCATTACTTTTGGGATCAAAGTTCCCGCGGGGATATTTATCCCTACTCTGGGTGTTGGGGCTTGCGCTGGCCGCATCATGGGCTTACTTGTCCAATATCTGCAAGTGAGGAACCCTGACTCAACAGTATTTCGTGCATGCGGAGGTGATATCGACTGTGCGCTTCCATCTTTTGTTGAGTTCACAGTGCATTCTGACACGATCCAGGTATCGTTCCGGGTCTATATGCTATGATAGGTGCGGCAGCCGCTCTCAGCGGAGTGACGAGGACAACCATCTCTCTCTGGTATGCACCCGGTCGTCTTCGAACGGGTAGCTGATTCGTTCAACTCAGTGTGATCATGTTCGAACTCACGGACTCGTTAACTTACACTGTTCCATTGATGCTCAGCATTCTTGTAGCCAAGACTCTTGCCGATGCCCTTGAGCCCAAAGGCATCTACGATCTGGTGATCGATCTCTCCCAACTACCATACCTCGACTCCAAGCACGAGTATCTCTGGGGAAGCCTCCAGGTCAACGACGTCGTCTGTACCGTTTTCATTGCGCGCAAAACTTGCTCTCATGCATCAGGTAGACGGTCCGAGATGTCGAGGTCATTCGCTTGGATCAACCCAACACTGTCAAGACACTGATCGACCAGCTGCATGCACTGCTGGCCACTGGCAGCGACGATAGCGGTTTCCCCATCCTGCGCCAAGACGGCGGTGAAGACAGTCCGCGCATGATCGGCTACATAGGTGCCAATGAACTCGAGCATGCATTAAGTGTGTTCTGCGCCTCAATTTACACTTTGCGGCGACTGAGTGACTTTCGTGCAGGTATCGTTGCCGATGATCCCGATGACCCCGTGCAATTCCATGTCGAATTCTCGCACAGCCGTGGGCTTGCCTCGGCTTCCTTTTCATCTCTTTTGGAAAGCGCCCAAGTTCCGGAAGTCGACCCCTTCGATTTCAGCATCTACATGGACCAGGCACCTTTGACAGTCCAATCCAACTCACCGTTGGAGATGGTGCATCAGTATTTCACCAAGCTCGGAGCTCGTTACGTGGTGGTGCTCGACACTGATGGCTACTGTAAGTGACATCGACCATTTTGGACCCTTGGACTCGCTCTAACCGACTTGGTTCAGACGAAGGTGTGATCGACAAGAAAACATGGCTAGCTTTCTTGAGCGGACTCGATGAGAAATAAGGGACTTCTTGGCATACCCATCCACCGGAAGCATACCAATTGCACATACCCGATCTGCCTCACGCATACTCACCTACTTTACCATTACGCAGAACATCGTACATAACTCGCATGTACAAACCAGACATTTCTCAATACATTGGTAACTGACCGATCAGATCTAGACTACAACTCGGCATGGTGGCAGTGCAAGCCCACACTGTCACTCTCATCCCCCATGCTTTACGCCTGAAGTTGTCGGTCCTGCGTCGCGAATATCTCCGAGCCAATACGCTGACCCCAGTTGATGCAACATATGATATGCAGAAGCGGCTTCATGCCCAACGAAAGCACATCGTCCATTCGGTAGGCATCGCTCCCCCTACCCCGCCCTGTTTAAGTACTGAAGGAAATACAGCTTGACGCGGTGAGTCTGTCGCACGCTCGCTTGCCGCTTCGTCCTTACTGTTCAAAAGCTCTTGTATCAGCTGCATGTCCTCGCATTTTTTCTGTATCCCTCGCTGTCGGCTTTACTGGTTCGCGTCGCATTGCAGCCCCAATGCTCCAGGCTGCGAGAACTTGACACTCCGCGGTCCATCCGCATCTTTTTCGGGTTTTTCCTCAGTGTCAATGCTACTATCATCCTCACCCGCGCCTTCACGAGTTCTGAGGACGGCAAAACAGCTATTCTGGACTTCATTGGGAGAGGTACGTCTGGCCTTCGCATACAGGCGTTAAGTGTATATGAATATGTATCTTATTCACGGTCGTCAGCACACCCCGTCTCGAAGGTCCATGTTGTCTCCCTTGACCTCTTCATCCTCTTCCTTCAGCTCGTTCTCGCGACCGTTGCGTACGAGGCGGGCCGCACTGAGAGTGAGTCGGCGACCACCAGGGATGCCACAACCACTCCAGAAGATGCACACGAGCTGAAAGCGTCTTTCCGGACACCTGACGCGCCTCCGTATGTCATCGATCTTCGGATGAAGACGGTCATCAGGCTTCTCTTGAACCCTGCATCGCCTCCAACCGGAGCGGATGGTCTCCCGCTACCTAACACTACGCAATGGCCTCTGCGGGCTATCGGTTTGAGGATGCTACTTGGGTTTGCGCCCACTCTCAGACGGGCGCC